GACTGTATGGCAGCAATATGGTAAGCTAATTTGAATCCTGCAATAAAATGTGGGACAAAAAGAAAACATGCCTTATTTTGAAAGGCAATTATTCTCATTCTCGCTTAGTATATAAGTTTTGAAGATATAAGCTTAAAGACTGTATGCATGTAACTTCTTGAAAATAATGATATGAATATTCTTTTTACAGCCAGACTCCGAACAGAATTTTGCACCGTTGTTGTGATTGAGCACACAGTACAAAACAGTGTTGCTCGTTATAACAATTTATCAAATACTGCTTCTTGCAACTACCGTACTTGAATATGTTTTTGTTTTGTAAGCTGCATCATTGGCTTGCTACAACATTATCAATGAGAAAGGTCAGTGTTAGTGATACTCATAGGTTATCTGTAACTTTGGACATACGCTCCAGACAAGCGGACATTAAAAAAGTTAAAACATAACCTTGCCATATACAATCATATCTAAATTTCACAGATTTACAAATTATTTCACAAAATATTATTGAATCTTCTTTTGTGTTCATTCCCATAGGGAATTCAAATAATTCCAGTAAAGTAAAATTATTTTTTTCTGCTACAACATTAACAATATGAGCTAATGACCTTGCTTAATTTACACTGAGGTTCTCACACTCTTCATATAGACTAACATATAGTCTCTGAAATGAACATATCATACAGAAAAAAACAGTTGTTCAGTTATCTAAATAAAAATCTAATAAAAAGGGAGCCCAGTGATACTCTTCATTTTCAGGTCCTGCAGTAATCTAGACTTGCCAAACATTATAGACTTGCATGGGCTGTAGTTGATATAAATGTATCAGGGTCTGTAAGACAGACTAACTCTTCATAGAGCCAGTTCCTCCTTGGAGTCAAGTATCCACAATCTGGTGAGCAGTAAGAGATCTGAACAGACAACTAGTCAGTAGTAATTAGGGAATCATATTGTGACATGTTTATGGCTAGTGTGTCAGGTCAGTGCTAGCAGTAGCTTGCCTGTATTCAGTTGTTTGAGCCCTCAACAGACCAATGAACCCTTCAGTATAAACTATCAGTTTCCACTTTCCCCAGTTTGGCTTTAGCAAGTCTAGAAATAGACAAATACACACTTCCAAGGAAGGTGGTAATACATCAATCAATACAGATGTTCACAGGTCATAATCAACCTAGGACATTTTATACACAATATCATCATACAATCTACACTTAATGGAATGTTCAGATTTCTACTTGGCTGATGATAGTAAATCACATTTCAAACTTGTGAGCAGAACCTGAGTACTATGGGTCAATATTTCTAATTTTAAGAGATTTTTTGCTATTCTATTACTCGTATCCCCTCGACCAGAAATGAGATAACACCTATAAAATCTACAGTTAATGGAATCTGAAGATTTTCTTTTGGCTGCGGATAGTAAATCACATTTCTAGCTTGTGAGCAGAATCTGAATGCTATGGGTTAATATTTCTAATTTTAAACGATTTATTACTATTTTATTACTCATATCCCCTCAACCAGAAATAGGATAACGTCTTTTAAGTCTAAGATTAATGGAATCTTAAGATTTTTTCATGACTACTGATAGTAAATAACATTTGAAACTTGTGAGCAGAATCTGAAATCTATGAGTCAAGATTTCTAATTTTAAGAGATTTTCTACTATATTATTATTCATATAACCTTGACCGGAAATGGGATTACACCTACAAACTCGACAAATAATGGAATCTGAAGATTGTCTTATGGCAGATGATAGTAAATCACATTTCAAACTTGTGAGCAGAATTTGAGTGCTATGGGTGTATTTCTAATTTTAAGAGATTTTTAACTATATTCTTACTCATCTTGCCTTGACCAGAAATTGGATAACACCTTTAAACTCTACAATTGAGGTAATCTTAATATTTTCTTTTGGCTACTGATGGTAAATCACATTTCTTACTTGTGAGCAGAATTTGAGTGCTATCAGTCAATATTTCTAATTTTAAGAGATTTTTTTACTAAATTATTACTCATATCCCCCCTCAACTGGAAATGGGATAAGACCCATAAAATCTACAATTAATGATATCTTCAGATTTCTTCTTGGCTGATGATAGTAAATAACATTTCAAACCTGCTAGCAAAAGCCTGAATGCTATGAGTCAAGATTTCTAATTTTAAGAGATTTTCTTCTATATTATTACTCATATCACCTTGACCAGAAATAGATAACACATATAAAATCTACAATTAATGGAATCTTAAGGTTTTCTTTTTGCCGCTGATAGTAAAGCACATTTCTAGTTTGTGAGCAGAATCTGAATGCAATGGGTCAATATTTCTAATTTTAAGAATGAAAGGAATCTTGAGAGTTTTGTTTTCTGAACATTGAATGAGTTGGGTTTAACACCACTTTTAACATTATTCCAGTTATATCACGGTGTGTCAGCTTAATGTGGGAGGAAAGCCCGAAGTGATGGTGCTGACAAACCTAGAGCATTATTGGGGCTAACCGGGATTCGAACCCACAATCATAGGTTGCTGGCGGATCCAAGGGACGCAACTCTGCACAGTGAATTGCGGCGCCTTAGACGACACGGCCACCCGTGCCCCATCTAATTTTAAGAGATTTTTTACTATATCATCACTCATCTGCCCTTGACCAGAAATGGGATAACACCTTTAAAATCTACACTTAATGGAATCTTAAGATTTCTCCTTGGCTGATGACAGTAAATCACATTTCAAACCTGTGAGCAAAGTCTGAACACTTTGAGTCAAGATTTCTAATTTTAAGAGATTTTTTTACTATTTTATTATTCAGATAACCTTGACCAGAAATTTGATAACACCTCTAAAATCTACAATGAATGAAATCTTAAAATTTCTTCTTGGCTGATGATAGTAAATGACATTTCTACCCCGTGAGCAAAGCCTGAACACTATGAGTCAAGATTTCCTCTTATGTTAAGAGATTGTTGACTATATTATTACTCACAACCCCTCGACCAGAAGTGGCATAAATGTAATGCTTTCAAGAATGAAAGGAATCTTGAGAGTTTTGTTTTCTGAACATTGTCATTCACATTTACAACCTTTGAGAAACATGTACTTTGACAATAAGCTTTGCATATGAAACCACATAGTTTTAAAAAAAGCTTCGTCCCCTTCACAGCTGTAATAGGCTAACTGATCATCATGGAGGGACTGACTGCACAATGTATGACATTGTGCTAGGTCTGTACCTGCCTTGATAGAAACCACAGAAAAAAAGTAAAAAGTAAAGGTATAATGACTTACCTACACATTCTCGTCTTATATATAATATTATCTTAGAAACTTCAGCTCCTTGGCCTTCAACAGCAAGGAACAGACGACCATTTTAATCAAGTTGTAAAGGGAGGATAACTCTTACTGTTGCTTTGTCTTGCAAATATTAATGTCAATGATGACAGAGCTTGAGATAACAAGTTCAGTTCTCCATTAGTAATGGGTTTATTAAATATATGTTATCTGTCTTAAGTTGGTAATTTTGAAACCTTTCTAAATATTTCAATCATATTAAATAATATCATTTAGATTCCATATGGTCTCCCCAGAAATATGAGGACATTTTGCTGGCAAAACGGTTTTGAAAGCTTCAACGTATATATGTCAATAAGCTACCAGGAATGGTTCAATGAGTTTCCCAGTTATTTTAATGCTGACCAGGAAGGAGATTTTGTCATACCGGGTATTACATGTGGTATTTTTTCCTTTAAAACAATGAGAAAAAGAATAGGGTGGTGGGTGAATCAAAGGAACATTAAAGAAATCTTTTTCAACAAGAGAAATCTTTTTCAACAATTTCTACTCTAATATTTCTATATGTATTTAGTTTCTTTTATTTTTTAAGTTAGACTTCTAAGATGAAGCACAAACTTTCTCACATCCTGCATCTGCTATGCATGGAAGCAGTTACATGCACCTCCACCATTAATATAAAAAATAGTTGCTTTTATCATCATGTACACAATAATCAAATGGAGTGATTTTGAATAATTGTTACCACTAAAATCTAACATGATAATGATAGTAATATTTACAAAAATGACTTTGGGACTTGAGAATACAAACAAAAATACACGCATCAGTTGCCAGAGGGCTGTGAGGTGTTGGGGCTTAGAATCCCTTGAAAAGTACAAATTTAACTGTACCCCTTTCAACTCTGACATGTTGAGTATTCATTGTTTGATGTTTAATGACACACTTAGTTATATTCAAAATAATTAATATTATTATATTGATGTACATACCCTCCCACATATCTTTTGTGAACATCATGGCCTATTGTACAATGTCATGAGTATTTATTCCTAGACATTTACCTGCTGTGTTACTGTGTATGAGAAGAAATATGTCCAACTCTCATAACTCTTTAAAAATAGCATAACACAAACATCCTAGGAACTTGAATTATTACGCTTGTATCCCCACCAATGAGTGGCATAACATCTTTAAAATACATAAATTAGAGAATAATTTTATTTTCATTTGGCTTTTGCTATTTTGTAGGAAACACTGTGTTCAGAAGTGGCCAAGATAGCTATTTAACAGAAAATTTACTCTGTTATTAAACATGTCACCACCTCACAAAGGTTATGATATGATAGACAATTAAATAATACATTTGGGAGTGATATCATGGTTAGAAATTAAACATGGCAATGGGCAGTAATTACAGATAATAAGCAACACGACCAGTTTTATAGGACTTGCATTTTTTTCATGAGCGATCTGGATAAAAAGAAGAAATTGTATTCCGCTTTAGTTCCGCAGTACCACTTTTATATGCTGCTATATTTAGCTGCAAATGTCGGACATCGAGTCAGTAGCATTGCCATTGGCGCACTTTTCAGAACGGAGTAAACATACAAAACACAAGAAGTGCAGATGATTTTGCTCTTATTAAATGTGTGTCAATTAAACACATAGTTGCATGCCAGAGATATAATTCTCCACGGTGTTTATCCCAGTTCTGGTCGCAAATTGACGACGCGCACAGAGAGGCGGGACCCAGTTTAACAGAACACCGGCTCCACTGGGGGGAATCCCCTGTTAAAAATAACAACGGGATCGAAAGAGCTGCACAACGTTTGTTTTGGGAGAGTTTGGTTTATGGAAAGTCTGGGCTTTAAAGGTGAGAAATATTGATACACTGAGCTGTCTAACAGTTGCATAATGGCTTCTGTAAAATGTTTCAGCTTTATTGTCACGATCCATGACACATTTACTTTTCTCCAACATCTAGATTTAGATCAGTAAATAAAATTTTTACCTCTGTACAAATAGGGGTACATATTCATTTACTGACCAATAACGAGTTCCTCTGCCACGGGCTGTGGTTTGGAAGTATCTCACTGTCACAGGAAATCACTGACTGACTTGACCATTTAATTATTACAGTCGTGATTTTTGGTCTTATACAGTGATATTTGTTGAACTTACATAATGAGTCATTTTAAAACAAGTGAAACATAGTTGTATTTCAATGTAGAAATAAACAGATTTATCTCTTTGCAAAGATATTTCCTTCAATTTCAACCAATAGTATCAACATGATTAGACCGCATAGGTTAACAGAGCTAGTGAAATAACAGTATATAAATTAGGGCTGGGACGAGTCCAAATTTCCCCCCTATAACCCGACCCTACCTGGGTACCCACTGTAGGTCTCAGGAGATTTCTCAAAATGTCCTATTGGGAACATTTTTAGCATAGCCCTTGCAAAACGCATTTAGATACATGTATTAAACAATCTGGTCATTCATACACTGAAGTTGAATTAAGTTATATGTTTATTCAACCATATGAAAAATCAGAAGAAATGGGTGCTTAGTCAGAAAGAAATGCGAACATTGTAGTGTAACCATAGAGCTCTAGATAGTTTTTGTCATTAAACAATATATCACGCGACTAACCATGGGTCCGGGTAGTCCTGTGGGTACCCGGGTCCTACTCAGTACCCACCCGACCCGGGTACCCGAGTTACCCGTCCCAGCCCTAATATAAATGAAATCTTTAGTCTTTAAATCAGGATATATATGGTACAAATATATATGAGAAACAACTTGTGCTCTAATCCCACATGCAAATTTAACTATTAGGCATTGAATATATCCACACATCTGCAATAGAATTTCAAAATGATGTTCGTACAGGTTGGCAAAGAATGAACATGATGAAGTTGAAAAGATTGGTCTGTCAGTGTCCATGCTCTGACAAATACAGTGATGTGATCTCGGAGAGGCCCAGACTGGGTTGGATGTCATCATTTGTGTTGATGAGAGCTCGCACAGCAGGTAATGAAAACTTTAAAACTTTACTGTGTCTTTACTGGTCTATACAAGATGTTACACTTGCTAAAATATTACTTACTATTCGTTTAATGACCCCCCAGTGTTTTGTCAATCCAATGTTGCAAAATGTGTTGTCAGCAGCCTTTCAATTTTTACAAATAACATGACGAAAAGTAGCTGCTATGAACATATGTGACTGCTAGCTTTTCCTTTTGAATGCTCTGCTCTGAAATATTTATAGTCAAGAAGTTTCCACACGATTTGATGTAAATATGAGTTACACAATACATTTTGTATCATGACCTATGTATCGCGACCTTCCTGTATTGTTCCACCCCTAGTAATCATGGTAATTAGTGCTACTGTGGTGTGGATAACACTGGTTATGGATTACCAGCATCTATTATAGCACTCTTACAATCTCCGTTGTCGATCCCACCATCAACCGCTGGTGTGATTGATCAAGTATTGCTGAGTCACCATGCTCATCCGATATTGTATTATAGCTGTAATATTTCTGTCCGGGATGTTAACAATTCTGCATTGATTGAGGTAAGTATGACCTTTGAGTGACTTGCCTTGAAGGTCAAGGTAAGTTGAATCACCTGTGAAGAACCGGGGTAGAATAGGTCTTTAGCAACCCATGCTTGCCGTAAAAGGCGACTATGCTTGTCACAAGAGGCGACTAACGGGATTGGGTGGTCAGGCTCGCTGACATGGTTGATGCATGTCATCAATCTCAATTGCTCGTGATATCAATCACTGGATTGCCTGGTCCAGACTTGATTATTTATACCGACTGCCGTCATATAGCTGGAATATTGCTGAATCACCTTTGTGTACTGAACTAACCCTGTGGTGGTGTGTGATGTGTATGACAAAACACTTCCTGTCAGGTTTTCATGAGATTTAAAACCCTTGGATTCAGGTTTTAAATCTCATAAAAAATCAAGAGGAAGTGTTTTATCAAACTTATGAACTGACAAGAAATCTGAAACAATATTTATCAACAATTTTATGTTTTAAACTTTTAATCATACTTTTCATGGACCTTACTAAAAGGGCATAAAATATCTGTGGCTGGTGTGCATGTACTTTAAAGAGCTAATCTTAAAAGCATTATGATTTATCAGTACCTCTGTAGCCAAGTGTTACACTCACTTTAGGCTACAGAGATGAAGTTTGTAAGTTCCATCCACTGAACTGTTTCTCACCTGACTCTACTTCATTCTGCACATTTCCATGTCTACGCTGTGTTCAAATGCAAAATAAATGTCATGGGGGGTGCATTCACACGTTACGATATTACAGGACGTTGTAAATATGTAATCCAAGGATATTATATAAAATCCCTTGGATATTGTATAATATCCTGTTTATGAAATTTAATTTAATTTAATTGGAGATCAATAGGATGACATCACTTGAGATTTATAAATGTTTGTCATAGCTATAGTGACCATATAACTTGATACTATCAAGCATGTGTTTGGCTGAAATTGAGGTCAAGGTATTAAACTGGATTAGGATACATGTTTTTGTCCTTGTGAAAGCTATAACTTTCTATTTTCATGTTTATTTTCCATTATTTTCCTTTGGTAAGCCTATATGGATTTATTAATAGACACTATAATGGTCACATGTCAGTACTGTTTCATGTTTTCCTACTGTTTCAGATGCTCGTCACTTTTCATGCCACATGTTAAGTAAACTGAAGCTGTGCCAGTTGCATGAAACATTGACAGTATTGTTTGCTTTTGTGGTAAGAAAAATAGTGAATGCATTAAGGAGTGGCCATTTATTATGGGGTTGGGTGGGGTGAGGTTTAGGACGGGTCCTGAAAAAATGACTGTGAAAGAGGGTGGCCAGCAAAATTTATCAAAACTATATGACACAGTTCCATTTTTTCACATAATTTATTTTATAAATTTGAAGATTATTTAGGGACTGGGCATCTATATTAGGGTGTGGGTGTGGGGGTTTATGAACAATTGTTACATCTATGGGTAGGGGTGTTGAGGGCGCATGAAAAAATGTGTGTTTGTCAACCAAATATGATACACTCCCCCCCCCCCCCCAGCAGAAGTTGTGACCAGGATGTTTACATGGTTGAAGAGATCTGAGAATTGCATTCTGATTGTGTCATTGTCCCTAACATCTACCCGAGGCAAGGGAGTTAACTGACCATAAAATTCAAGTTTCCACCCTTTCCAAACTTGACTGCAATTATCGAGTTATGTTTTGTCTGGACTGACTAATCTATGCATAGTCAGTTCAAAATTGCGTAATAAAGTCCACATCCAGATTTGGAAAGCATGTGTACTGCCAACTCAGCGTCAACAGATATTTTCTAAATCTTTTCATGTTTATAATAAAGATGCTCTCATGATTTGATGCACTTTGTGACGTAAGAGACCTGTTTTATCACAATATAGATTTTGACTATTGATCAGATTGTCTTCACTGGCGCCACGATTTTGTTTGAAGCAAATGCAAGTGATGTGAGAGATGGAATCTGATTGGTCAACAGGAAGGAAATAGAAGGGACATAACTCGTAATAGCCACTGTTGGTGCTATGATCGAGCCCAAAAATTCCAGTCCAGTTTGTTATGGGTGGACACTGGATTTTTACAGTCAATTAACTCCCTTGCCTCGGGGAGATGCAGCTTGCAATCAGTTCCTATGATAAGAGTATGGTTCTCTTTGTGAATGTTGGGTGAGCCTAACTACTCGGTTGTTATTTCAACAACATAATATAATGACACACGACTGACATCACTTCTGAAGGAATGCCTTTATTACATTACTGGAAGTTTGTTTCACTCACTCCAACAATGTTCTGATTCCATGTATTATATGTAAATATTCAAATGTGTTGTTTATGTAGATTCTACTGTGTGCATGTGGAACTGTAGCCGAGTCAACATCTACCGATACAATCCAGTACAGCATAGATGGATCATGGATTACATGCAAAAGTGTCACATGCCCTCGTGGTAGGTCATGCTCTACCTTACTAAGATATGAGACTTTGTTTGTTTGTTTGTTTAGTGCTGCACTCAGCAATAATCCAACTATATCATGGCGGCCTGTAAGTAATTGAGTCTGGACCAAACAATCCAGTGATTCATATTGTGAAAAATGATACACATGACGTCAGGGTGCGATGACACACTGTCACCGAGTCTGACCAACCAGTCCATTTTGTCGCTTCCTATGATAAGCACAGCTTGCTGGGGAAGTACTCTAACCTGGAGTCCCCACAGGGAGACAAGCCTTTAGTTGAGTGGTTCTGGGCCGGGAGAGCGAAACCTAGCCATAATGAACTCTAAAATCTCTTCGCTGTCGTGAAGCTACAGTAAGACTGGTTGCGCTACAGTAAACACGGGATATTGCTGTACTGGGACTCTCAAATTACAAGAAAAACACAGAAATGCGTATACCGTAATTACAGTAGTAATTTATTAGATGCTGAAGTATAGTATAGTTGCACAAAAGTACTTTACATTTAACAAATTTAATAACTCTAATACTTTAATATTTCATAGATGTACATTATAATTTCTACAAAAACAACAATAACTTACATCTTAACATATAATGGTAAATACATAAATACATTCTATAATAAATTTGTGGTTGCAGTGGCATACACATTGTGTTCAGGTCATTCACTCCAAGTGGATCAGGTCACCAACGTGATCTGTGTACTCAACGTTGCCGATGACGTTGTTGACGAGATTTTCTTTCAGAGCCTGAACAAGTGCTGACCACCTCGCATGGTATCAACCATGGTCACTCGAACTTGTGCGTTAGCTATTTTGGACATAGATAACTTACTTACTTACTTACTAAATTTGGAGATTTAACGTGCGCTTTCCGACTGATGCGTATTTCGCACACAGGCCCGGCCAGGCCATTTGATGTGTTTCCAAAAGGGGCTTAAGTAGTGTGTGCAACCCAAGAGGGCCCTATATGGGTTGCTTATATAGAACTTGGGAATTTTGAGATTTGGAATAGATGCCGATGGAGTTGGGGAGGAGAATTAAGCTTATTTCTGGGATTTTGAGGGATAGTTTAGCTGCTTTTAATTACCGTATATTCCTACGTGGGAGGGTATCCACAAGAATGTTATTTGTTTGCCTGCCTTAGTTAGGTCGTTGGAGCTTTTAAGTATTTGATTTATTAATTTAGGTCGGTTTTGGGTATTTTTGTTTTGGAGGGCTTGCAGTCCACTTAGGGAGTTGGTAAGTATTAAGATTTTTTGTGGTTTTTTGGATTCTTGATTATGGAGGGATGATGCCATGCCCATTAGTTCTGCCGTAAATATATGGATTGGTTGTTTGGTTTTAGTTGGTTGTGTGGTATGGACTCCGAAACCTGTGTGTTTGGAGGTCGGATCTGAAGAACCGTCTGTATATGTGACATCACATAGATAAATAAGTGACACTCTTTATATAAACCCTCAAATACATACCGTATGTATTCTTAAGAAACGACTCTCCTCTAAACCCATCGGTATCATAACCCATATCAACTAAGAAACTAATTGTTTGTTCAATTAAGATACTGATCATCTCTTCTCCTGTGTTTAAACATCCAACTGTATCATTTTTTTACGAAACGAATCTCTAGTAAATCTCCTCTCCTCTCCTCTGTTTGAACAGCACGGCGCTAATCTAAACTACGGTAATCCGGTGTTTTTATAGCAATTACTCATTTTTCGCTTTCGTAGGACAAATACCCCAACTTGGGTTTTCGCTTTACTGATACTAGGGAAAAATGGATTTTCGCTAACCCGGCACGGCACCGGTTGAGTTGGACATGATAGAGACTTTAGCTAATCCCTCAATCTTTGAAACTTTTATCTTCCTATTAGTTTGGAACACAATCTAAGCTAAGATAAATAATCACTCTCAACATCATGCTCTGCAGTACAAGTCAGGGCCTCTCTGAGTGAGTTAGTATGGTTTTACGATGCTTTTAGCAATATTCCAGCAATATCACAGTGGGGACACCAGAAATGGGCTTCACACATTGTACCCATGTCGGGAATCAAAACGAGTCTTTGGCCCGACCGCCCCTGGGCGTCTCTGAGATGAACATCATGAGAAAAGAATTTCTTGCATAATCGTTTGACAAAGAGTAATTTCAGACATCGGGCATCCATGTCACTGGACATCCTTCCGCCTATAATGACTGGTCATTATTTATGTCCATCATCATGTTGCCGCCATGCTTATTCACCTGACTCGTTTTAACAAGATTTGGTCGTGGATTCCCCTTCATGTAAAACAATTCAAGTTCTTTAGTCATCCAAATCATCATAATCAGTCATAAATGAGTTTAGAAGATTAGGTTACCATTGTACAAAACAACCTTAGTGCTACCTATGACTGTCTGTGTTAAGGTATGGAATTTACAATCACTGGCGTGGTTAAATCATTTTGTCCAACGCACCCGGGCCTTGGTCTGGTTACTGGAGGATCTGTTGATGATTGTATGATTTATGGGGATATAGATAGTTCTTCATGTAGCACAAGACAGTCCCTGCTGTATTCTCATTGACAAATCAGAATGAAGTATTTTCTAGTGTGTGAGTTGGGTTTAACGCTGCTTTTAACAGTATTTCAGTTATATCACGGCGTGTCAGATAAATGTGGGAGGAAAGCCCGAAGTGATGTTTACCACTTCGGTGAAACCCACGAGCACTGGTATGGTGCTGACAAACCGAGAAACATATTTGGGGCGAACCGGTATTCGAACCCACAATCATAGGTTTCTGGCATGCCCAAGGTACGCAACTCTGCACAGGGAATCGCAGCGCCTTAGTCGACTTGGCCACCAGTGTCCACATATTTTCTTAAGTCAATGTAGAAAAACTGTTGAAAGACTGGGTAAATATATATATATTTGGATTTCTTATCTCATGTGAAACTAGATCTGTAGTTTTGAAGTGACAAAATACATTTTTGCTACTACAGGGTACGAAACAGTTGCCTGCACGAAGAATGGAGGGAAAGACACGTGTCACTTGTGTTCCTGGGACAAGTACCAGCCAGTGGACAATGTCACATCTCAGATGAGATTGAAATGTTTCCCAATAGTTTGTGCTCCAGGTAAATGGCTATTTTGTTTTGTTTGATTGACATGCCTGATCTGAATGTTCATGTGAGCTTAGGGATCGGTCATGTGTTATGGGGTGTGTGGGAATTCTGACACCGTCATTTTATGTAAGATTTTTTCCTAGCCCCTCCAAATACATATAACATTTTATCATGACCATCCTCCGCCCGCCTATGTCACATGCAGTATTCCGCACTTGTCTTAGTCCTGCACGTGTTGCTGTGTCCCTACTGTGGACAGTGGAACCAAACAAGGCAACTTAGATATGTTAGAATGAAAGGGACCATTTCTTATAAATAAATCACAAACATTATGGAGAATATAGAACAAAATTAAAGCTTGAAACAAGAACTATAAATGTTCAAATACAAAACAATTTCAGAAAATTAATTAACTTTGATGCAATTTGAAATCCTGTTAGCTTTTAACTCTTACATATTTATTAAGGAGTAAATTTATTTGTGCTAAGCATTTTTTTTCTCTCTTTTGGAATTAAAAATGTGTCGTCTGCTAGAGGCGGCTGCTGGTCATCAATCATCAGCTGTCACATGGTCCAGCAATAGCCCCAGATCAGAGCCTGTAAATGCCGTGCACTTTGGGACCTCAAACAAATTCTGACCACTGGAGGATACAGTAACTATTATCAACTGATTTAATAAAAAATACCATTTTAGGTGAAACTCCCTTGTGTTCTAACACTGCACATAATTTAGATTGACTTTCGAAATCAAAGGTCTTTGAAAAATCAACAAATATGTATACAGTTCACACTCCTTTGTACCCAAACGGTGACCAACAACTGTCTGCAGGATGAGCACATTATCCCCAGTAGAACAACCCTGGTGGAAGCCAAACTGCAATTCTGAAGTTTTATCATACACATCACACCAAAACTGTAAGAGATTGTTCAAAACTTAAAATATGACGTTTACTGAAAATACATCTATTATGAGATGTACAAATAAGATTGTAGTACTATCAATCATATGGCCCAGGGTCATGAGAAAACACTATCATTTAGCAGGCCATTTATGAAGGCTGTAAGAAAAGGCTAAATGAAGTCACTGGAATGTTTAATAAAATTCAGCTTTTATCCTATCATACCCTGCTGATTTTTAGGATTGAAGACAACCAAGAGCAGCTTTAACTTCATTTTCAGTATTTGGAGAATCCCAAATATCTGCTGTAAATACGTCACTATCTGGAATGGTATTTAATGGGATATCAGTGTTATCAATAGTATAAATATATTGTCAGTTGTACCTGTATGCAAGACAAGTCAAGACAAATGTATTCGGTATAAGGCCTTTGGCCCAAAATACAGACAGATTTTATATCTATGCGTACGCATTTACAAATATGTATCATATTTTCAGATTTTTTCTTCTTTGTTTAAATTTCTAGCATTGATAATTTTATAGACATAACACAGAAATAAACCAGTGTTATAGATGGTTTCCTGGTCTTCATTTTGAAAAAGACCCACTATAGTGTGCATGGTATACGGTTCATGAATAAATTTACCAACATATTTTTTTTCTAATTTCTTTATAAATACTGCAAACAAATAACACATGGAATTCATCTTCAATATCGGAATGGTCCCTTGATTTGCAAAGGCTAGGCTATGTGTGTATAACATTTATTTTTAAGTTTCATACAATCTTCAGCTACAAATAACATGTGTAAACATTTCTATAGCATCATTATGATCAGTATTGTCTACACAATCCCCCATCATACAGGTCATGTGGGAAGAGGTCTTCAGCAACCCATGCTTGTCGTAAGAGGCGACTTAACATGATCGAGTGGTCAGGCTCGCTGACTTGGTTAATGCATGCCGTTGGATCCTAATTGTGTGGATTGATGCTCATGATTTCAATAACTGGATTGTCTCGTCCAGACTCGATTATTTACAAATTTAAGTGCCATCATCATGATCATATAGCTGGAATATTGCAGATTGTGATGTTTAACAAGAAACAAACAAACAAATGAACAAACAAAACGCTTTATCCAACACAAAGTACAAGTTGTCAGCTGATGCACATAAATCACGATCCTGCACATGTGATTGGTGCGTGTCCCGTGCATGAAATGAGCAAGTTAGTGGTAGATGATCCGAATCTGACCAGGATATGATACATAGTCAATTACACATTGTAAACATCATTAAGGTAAATACAACACAGCCAATAACATTTCTTCCAAGTAGGCTAAGAAAGTGTTCTCTCCACTGCCTACATCAGACCCACAGTGACTGTTCAAAATAAACAGATTCAGAACACCACTCAAGTCATCTTCCCAAGACAAGGACGTTAACTGACTATAAAAATCCAATTCCCACCCTTGCCGAACTTGACTGCTATTCTGGAGTTACATTTTGGCTGGACTAACAAGTCTATGCATAGTCCAATCAAAATCGTGTAATGAACCACATGGATTTCAACATGCAGGTTTCGGTCAACTGCAGGATTTGCCAGGCATGTGTACTGCTAACTGGGCATCGACAGATATTTTGCAAATCTTTTCATGTTTTTTATCAAGGTGCTCAAGTGATTTGATGTACTTCGTGGAGTAAAACCTGTTTTATTACAATGTAGATCTTGATTATCAATCAGATCTTTTTTGATTAGGCGCCGCCATTTTGTTTGAAGCAAATGCAAGTGATATGAGTGAGGAAATCTGATTGGTCAATGTTTTTTTTCTAAAATTGAAATGTTGTGTCTCAGAAACTGCTTGACCAAATATGGTGTTCACATTAAACAGGCACATTACAAAGCTGATTGACAGCCAAACACTCCTTCCTGAGTGTGTAGAGATTTCATTGCAGATGACCTTGAACATCCAGAATGTTGAGCCCACCTTAATTGTCCCTGGTGCACTATGTTTCCTTCACATTATCACTTTTCTACATCAAATATTAAGTGTAGTTCAGCTTTTCACGACAAAACCAAAATGTGATAATAAGGCGTTTTATTTGTGCGTTTGCAAACATTTTGGCCAAATATGGTCTTTATATAGGTGGTCAAAATGAAATAATTTCATTTTCCAGATTAGTACAGCCACTAATGAATGAAAAATGAATTTTGATTGTGAAATGACACCAAAAGTTATTGGATTATTTGTTTTGCTGGAATACAGATGTTTGTACATATTATTCACCATCTCCTACAGCGGTGATATTATCTTGTATTGTTTTCATTTCGCCTAATTGTAAAACAAAGTTGCCCAGAATATTTTTTGTCAAGTCAAAACTTGTCATTGGCCCAATGTAACATACATTGTCGGGCCGACATCTGCCCGATGTGGGCGTGCTAGTTGGGTTGATGGTGCTTCTTTATCATAATGCTATTAAACTGTTGTTTTGAAACACTTTCACATTATCATACTTGTAAGACATACATTTGCTGCAAAACCAGACAAAAGCGTAATTGTTGTGGCATATATGAAAAACACCCATGTTTTCAGGCATTTAATCAAATTGTCCAAGGGAGGCTACTCCAACTTCACAAGCATGACAACAATTGTTCACCATGTATATGGTTAAGGCTGAATGTTATTTGCTTTAACACCTGACAGTAAGCACTCTGTAGTGAAGAATACGTCCCTTCTTGCAGACAATCAGAGGCCGGTACAGCGAGGAGAGCCTGGTCCAGGGAACCCACCGGTCTGTGTGTGTGACACCACAAGACACAATTACCAACACAGTGACATACCAGAGGACTGCAGGCGCCGGATCTGTGGCAGGTCAGAGACTCTACTCCTGAATGGTATGTGGAATGGACACTGCTGCTGTTAGGTGGATTGGTTTCCCAAACTGGACATTTTTGGTGCCAAATATATGGGGAATTTAGGACTGGTTATTTCTTTATAAAGGGTTGTGTTTTTTAAGAGAAACACCACAGGTTATGAAGGATGGTTGTGTAACGAATGTACAAGATTTTCAATATTGGATCAAGAAAAAATATACATTTACTGCTAAATATATTAAATATTTTGATGTGGCCAATATCTTAAGACCGAATTACTTGCTGTCAAAGAACTTCAATACAGCTATTCTGCTTCTTCTTTTGAAGCTGCAGTTTCGTTATTCTAATAATAACATGAATAACACAAATACGACAGACTTGGTTTCACTTCTGAACATAACATAACTAGAACACACATCAACCATATCATATCTATAACAGTTAGTCCTTCATAGTGCACTATTATACATATCTATAACAGTTAGTCCTTCATAGTGCACTATTATACATATCTATAACAGTTAGTCCTTCATAGTGCACTATTATACATATCTGTAACAGGTAGTCCTTCATAGTGCACTATTATACATATCTATAACAGTTAGTCCTTCATAGTGCACTATTATATATATCTATAACAGGTAGTCCTTCATAGTGCACTATTATATATATCTATAACAGGTAGTCCTTCATAGTGCACTACTATACATATCTATAACAGTTAGTCCTTCATAGTGCACTATTATACATATCTATAACAGTTAGTCCTTCATAGTGCACTATTATACATATCTATAACAGTTAGTCCTTCATAGTGCACTATTATACATATCTATAACAGTTAGTCCTTCATAGTGCACTATTATACATATCTATAACAGTTAGTCCTTCATAGTGCACTATTATACATATCTATAACAGTTAATCTTTCATAGTGCACTGTTATACATATCTATAACAGTTAGTCCTTTATAGTGCACTATTATACATATCTATAACAGTTAATCTTTCATAGTGCACTGTTATACATATCTATAACAGGTAGACCTTCATAGTGCACTATTATACGTGCGAATGAAAGGTTCATGAGGGGGATTCTTTTCCTCTGTATTGTACTTCACAATGATGTATAAAGCTGATGAGTTCTATATGACGATTAGAGTTGTTATTGATTTAAACGTTAAGGCTATGCCCCCCAAAATAGTGGATTTTTGTCGGATAGAGAAATTGCAGACCTGTTAACTCCCACCACCCCCAAACTTAAGAAATTTAGACTTTTATCGGACATAGAACTTTTTTGAGCTCCTCTTGTTTTATACATGTTGATGTAGCAGGGCGTGGAGTTATCCCTCAGATGACATACTTACCATGTCAGCTTGCTGACGGGGTCAACCTCTTTGGTCATGTGGACAAGGCGTCCGACCTCTGATCAGAAGGTCCGTGGTTCGAATCCCATCATGGGACTCGGAAATTTTATGGCCGCTACATTGGCGCCTAATGTGGGGCTGAGTTAAATAAGTCTCAGTACCCTACTATGTGGCCTTGGACATGCCTTCTGTTGACGGGAAGGTATGTAGCAGGGCATGGAGTCATCCCACAGATGACATCCTTACATTGTCAGCTTGGCACTATTGTTGTACATGTGACATCTGTATGAAATTGTAAAGCTGCCTCCGTCCGTATACATATGTACTTAAAATTCATTGAAGTTTCCAGCTACATGTTTATTGTTAAATTTGCTAAGGGACTGGTAAGAGAGTATATTTGGGGTCGGGCTGGCGGGAGGGATTGGTCCTAGGACTGTATCATATTTTTCATGACCCCAATACATTTGACCTTTTTTCATGACCCCCAGTCCCTTATAAAGAATATCTGGGACCAGCTGGCATCACAATGGAATATCTTAAGGCTTCTAAGAGCTGTATTACCCATTTCCTGACAATCATTCACAATCATTCACAACTGTTGACTGGCGTCAACAACCTTACGTCACAATAAGATTCGAATGACGTCATTACTGTCGTCCGGATAACAGAAACAATACACTGGTACACGAGAAGTGATATTTGCGCTAGTACACATATGATTTTTTATCAAACATTATAGGTACTTAGATCAGTCTTTTTTACACCAAGAATATGATATAATGTAGATGCTTGTAGTTGAATATTGCTGAGTGTGGCATTAAACAACAAACAAACAAACAAACAAACAAACAAACATCACTCCAAGAATAGTGTTGACAAAAGCCCAATTTTGCCTTACATCTCATGCAAATAAAGGCTGCTGTGACTAGTCACAGATATAATAAAATGGAACAAAGTATTACTTGTACTGACCTTTTAAAGTTTTTGGGATGCTATTTGTAGTTACACCTATTTTATGTTATGGATCAGACATTTGGGAAACTATAATGGTAAAATCATAGAAAATGTTCAAATTATAACTTGTAAATACCTTAACACTACCATATACCTGTAATATCTTGGACAATAAACTTGCAAGAGTTGTGCCCCCCTGCCTGACACACGAGGTGGCGCCGCTTGTGTCGTAACATCAGTCGCTAATAATCATCAGAGCTAAATCTGGTTTGAGAGTACTATATATATACTGTATTATGCAAGGAAACTGTTGAATGATTGTAATCTGGGCCTGATGCCCTCTACTGAATACATTGTCTGTCATACTTTCAGGTATGAATAGATTTTTTAAAATGTCTGCTGTCTGCTTTAGGAACATGTAATTGTATGAAGGGCCGTGTCAGAAACAAAGATGGACATTGTGTATGGAACCGGCCTCAGCCAAGTCTCTCTTCTGAATCTATTAGGCAATTGGATGCTACTCTAGGTGAGTGTTATGTATAAAAATGCCTATTTATCCATACTCTGTATCACTTAAGCTGAAATAAGCATAAATTTATAAATATCATGGCTTAAATTGATAATATATCACCCATTCATTGATTGAGTTTATGCCTTGTACTGGTGTGTCAATTGTACCTGAGGAGTACTACCTATCAAAGGCATTGCTTGTTGACACAGAAGTAGTAGTATTAAAGTCACTTACAACAAAAACTATCACATATACAGTTCTGTCAAAAGTGTACTTGCATCCGTTTGATATCATTGTTTGGTTGCTAACTTTGTCATGCTTTTGTTCCTGCCACCTTTCACAAATACATTTTCCTGATCATTTTCTGCTTATCAAAGTTTTACTGTATAGGCTCTCTGACTGTGTTCTTTTCTTCCATTCTGAGAAGTAATGTTATCTAAAATCATCACTTGATTATCACAAACTGCATGTGTCTCTATCTTTCTCAGGCACCAGTGCCGCACCATGTCAAGCAGGGGGCACGAGGGGCGTCTAAGGCGCCGCAATTCGCTGTGCAGAGTTGCGTCCCTTTGGCACGCCAGAAACCTATGATTGTGGGTTTGAATCCTGGTTCGCCCTGATTATGTTTCTAGGTTCGACAGCACCATACCAGTGCTCGTGGGTTTCACCGAAGTGGTGAACGTCTGAGACCAGCATCACTTCGGGCTTTCCTCCCACATTAAGCTGACACTCCATGATATAACTAGAATACTGTTAAAAGCGGCGTTACACCCTACTCACTCACTCACTCACTCACTCACTCACACACTCATGATAACAAATTTCGATCAGAAACACATGTCACTTTATGGGCACAACTGAATCAAGTGTGTTTGCAAGTTAATCTACAAGGTTATCTCTCTTAGTCCACAAATTCCAGTGGTAGGATGTCTTTACATCAGTTTAGTGAGCATGGTTGCCGCTGTTAGCAATATTCCAGCTCTATCAGCAGTATTCCAGCAATAGCACAGCAATATTCCAGTAGTATTCCAACCATACCCCAGCAATATTCCAGCAATATCCCAGCAATATTCTAGCAATATTCCAGCAATATCACAGCAATATTCCAGCAATATCACAGCAGTATTACAGCCATACCACAGCAATATTCCAGTTATGTTCCAGCAATATTCCGGCAATATTCCAGCAATATCACAGCAGTATTCCAGCCATACCACAGCAATATTCCAGCAATATTCCAGTAATGTTCCAGCAATATTCCAGCAATATCACAGCACTATCACAGCAGTATTCCAGCCATACCACAGCAATATTCCAGCAATATTCCAGCAATATTCCGGCAATATTCCAGCAATGTCACAGCAGTATTCCAGCCATACCACAGCAATATTCCATCAATATCACAGCAATATTCCAGCATTATTCCATCAATATCACAGCAATATAACAGCAATATTCCAGCAATATTCCAGCAATATCACAGCAATATTCCAGCAATATCACATCAGTATTCCAGAAATATCCCAGCAGGGAACACCAGGGTCCCATGTGGGGTCTTCAAGTTCAGTGGTGGGGTAACGCAATGTCAAACACATTTGTTAAACCAGAGATACTTGTGGTCTTTTGTTAAGCAAGTGACAAATTGATTTTTTTTATATGTGATGTTTAGTTTTATAAGGAGGGTAGTTTTGCAGAACGGATTTTTGTGAAATATGTAAGGGTGAAGCAGATAATGTTAAATGCATATGGCCGACTGCAGGGTACGTACAACCAGGACCTCATACCACTTCTACCTCAGATGTTCTGGCCAGAACTACGGCCAGACATAACACAACCGATCATGGTGCTGTAACAGTATCAACAGGATCGATATCAACAGATACTTCCACTGTGCCAAGACTTGAGTAAGTGCAAACATGTTTCAAATGTAAGCCAAGATGTGTATTTTGTTGATGACTCACTTCATCCAGTTCAGCTTGGCAGTTCATTTTTCTTGTTCTGACCTGGTTAGATTAATCTTCTATTCATGGATCAGTAAAGGACAAAATATGGTGTATTTGTGAACCAGGCAAATTGGTTAAGTTCAAGTTGGTCAGAGGTCATTTAACAAATATCGAAAACTAGCCGGAATGGTTTTCATTTGTTAACTTAAATTGGGCAAAGTTTGATCAATTGTGATGCTATTTGATTGTAATGTAGTCTTCGTTAAGCAGTCAGATTGATGAAAGCCAAATATCTAATGACAATGGTGATAATAATGTCTCAATTATTGTTGGTTGATAACTTCAACTGATACCAATGGCTGTTGACTAAAGTAGTGGTTATTCATGTCAGGGTAACATCCTCTAATCCGGATAACATCACCCACCTTACCCAATAACATACCTCCTTCCCAGACCACATCCTGACAACACCTGCCCCCTTCCCAGAACACATACTGACCTGACAACACCCTCTTCCTTCCCAAACCACATCCTGACAACACCCTCCTCCTCCCCAGACCACATCCTGACCTGACAACACCCTCCTCCTTCCCAGACCACATCCTGTCAACACCCTCCTCCTTCCCAGACCACAACAGGACCTGACAACACCCTCCTCCTCCCCAGACCACATCCTGACTTGACAACACTCTCCTCCTTCCCAGACCACATCCTGACAACACCCTCCTCCTTCCCAGACCACAACAGGACCTGACAACACCCTCCTCCTTCCCAGACCACAACAGGACCTGACAACACCCTCCTCCTTCCCAGATCACAACAGGACCTGACAACACCCTCCTCTTTCCCAGACCACATCCTGACAACACCCTCCTCCTCCCCAGACCACATCCTGAATTGACAACACCCTCCTCCTTCCCAGACCACATCCTGACAACACCCTCCTCCTCCCCAGACCACATCCTGACTTGACAACACTCTCCTCCTTCCCAGAGCACATCCTGACAACACCCTCCTCCTTCCCAGACCACAACAGGACCTGACAACATCCTCCTCCTTCCCAGACCACAACAGGACCTGACAACACCCTCCTCCTTCCCAGATCACAACAGGACCTGACAACACCCTCCTCCTTCCAAGACCACATCCTGACAACACCCTCCTCCTCCCCAGACCACATCCTAAATTGACAACACCCTCCTCCTTCCCAGACCACATCCTGACAACACCCTCCTCCTTCCCAGACCACATCCTGACAACACCTGCCCCCTTCCCAGAACACATCCTGACCTGACAACACCCTCCTCCTCCCCAGAACACATCCTGACTTGACAACACCCTCCTCCTTCCCAGACCACATCCTGACAACACCCTCCTCCTTCCCAGACCACATCCTGACAACACCCTCCTCCTCCCCAGAACACATCCTGACTTGACAACACCCTCCTCCTTCCCAGACCACATCCTGACAACACCCTCCTCCTTCCCAGACCAAATCCTGACAACACCCTCCTCCTTCCCAGACCACAACAGGACTTGACAACACCCTCCTCCTTCCCAGACCACATCCTGACTTGACAACACCCTCCTCCTTCCCAGACCACATCCTGACAACACCCTCCTCCTTCCCAGACCACATCCTGACAACACCCGCCCCCTTACCAGAACACATCCTGACCTGACAACACCCTCCTCCTCCTCAGACCACATCCTGACTTGACAACACCCTCCTCCTTCCCAGACCACATCCTGACAACACCCTCCTCCTTCCCAGACCACATCCTGACAACATCCTCCTCCTTCCCAGACCACATCCTGACAACACCCTCCTCCTTCCCAGACCACAACAGGACCTGACAACACCCTCCTCCTTCCCAGACCACATCCTGACAACAATCTCCTCCTCCCAAGACCACATCCTGACTTGACAACACCCTCCTCCTTCCCAGACCACATCCTGACAACACCCTCCTCCTCCCCAGACCACATCCTGACTTGACAACACTCTCCTCCTTCCCAGACCAAATCCTTACAACACCCTCCTCCTTCCCAGACCACAACAGGACCTGACAACACCCTCCTCCTTCCCAGACCACATCCTGACAACACACTCCTTCCCAGACCACATCCTGACAACACCCTCCTCCTTCCAAGACCACATCCTGACAACACCCTCCTCCTTCCCAGACCACAACAGGACCTGACAACACCCTCCTCCTTCCCAGACCACATCCTGACTTGACAACACCCTCCTCCTTCCCAGACCACATCCTGACAACACCCTCCTCCTTCCCAGACCACAACAGGACCTGACATCACCCTCCTCCTCCCCAGACCACATCCTGACTTGACAACACCCTCCTCCTTCCCAGACCACATCCTGACAACACCCTCCTCCTTCCCAGACCAAAACAGGACTTGACAACACCCTCCTCCTTCCCAGACGACATCCTGACAACACCCTCCTCCTCCCCAGGCCACATCCTGACTTAACAACACTCTCCTCCTTCCCAGACCACATCCTGACAACACCCTCCTCCTTCCCAGACCACAACAGGACCTGACAACATCCTCCTCCTTCCCAGACCACAACAGGACCTGACAACACCCTCCTCCTTCCCAGATCACAACAGGACCTGACAACACCCTCCTCCTTCCCAGACCACATCCTGACAACACCCTCCTCCTCCCCAGACCACATCCTGACTTGCCAAACACCCTCCTCCTTCACAAACCACATCCTAACAACACCCTCCTCCTTCCCAGACCACATCCTGACCTGACAACACCCTCCTTCATCCCAGACCACAAAAGAACCTGACAACACCCTCATCCTTCCCAGACCACAACAGGACCTGACAACACCCTCCTCCTTCCCAGACCACATCCTGACCTGACAACACCCTCCTTCATCCCAGACCACAAAAGAACCTGACAACACCCTCCTCCTTCCCAGACCACAACAGGACCTGACAACACCCTCCTTCCCAGACCACATCCTGACTTGACAACACCCTCCTCCTTCCCAGACCACATCCTGACAACACCCTCCTTCATCCCAGACCACATCCTGACAACACCCTCCTCCTTCCCAGACCACATCCTGACAACACCCTCCTCCTTCCCAGACCACAACAGGACCTGACAACACCTACCTCCTTCCCAGACCACAACAGCACCTGACAACACCCTCCTTCCCAGACCACAAAAGCACCTGACAACACCTTCCTTCATTCCAGACCAAAACAGGACCTGACAACACCCTCCTCCTTCCCAGACCACATCCTGACAACACCCTCCTCCTTCCCAGGTCACAACAGGACCTGACAACACCTACCTCCTTCCCAGACCACAACAGGACCTGACAACACCCTCCTTCAACCCAGACCACAAAAGAACCTGACAACACCCTCCTCCTTCCAAGACCACATCCTGACCTGACAACACCCTCCTCCTTCCCAGACCACATCCTGAAAACACCCTCCTCCTTCCCAGACCACATCCTGACCTGACAACACCCTACTTCATCTCAGACCACAAAAGAACCTGACAACACCCTCCTCCTTCCCAGACCACATCCTGACCTGACAACACCCTCCTCCTTCCCAGACCACATCCTGAAAACACCCTCCTCCTTCCCAGACCACATCCTGACTTGACAACACCCTCCTCCTTCCCAGACCACAAAAGAACTTGACAACACTCTCCTTCATCCCAGACCACAACAGGACCTGACAACACCCTCCTTCCCAGACCACATCCTGACTTGACAACACCCTCCTCCTTCCCAGACCATATCCTGACAACACCCTCCTCCTTCCCAGACCACATCCTGACAACACCCTCCTCCTTCCCAGACCACAACAGGACCTGACAACACCCTCCTTCCCAGACCACAACAGGACCTGACAACACCCTCCTTCCCAGACCACAAAAGCACCTGACAACACCCTCCTTCCCAGACCAGAACCTGGACTTTTATGAAACTCATGTTAGTATGCATGTATTACCCTTACTCTTGCTTGGGAAATACAAGAATTCTGACACTCATTTCGTAAAATCAGTATGACACACATGCTTGTATTATAATCTCTATTTGTTAAAACCTATTGAACATGCTTTGTCATAGATAAGCTGATCATGCCGTGTCCATGCTTCTGTTTCTGCATGTGATGTAATTTTGTTTGATTTGTCTTTTTCTGATTTTGTCTCTATTTTCAGCCAAGAACATGGAGTAGGAAAAACCTGGACACCTGGCATTGTTGCTGCAGTTGTTGCTGTTTTGGTTGTTTTAGCCATATCCTGGGTTGTGTACAAAGTTGTTGGTAGGTTAAACTTCACATGTAGATCATTATTCTCTCAATTTCTTTTGTTGTTGTTTCAGTGCAATATTTATTGTTATATCTTTATAAGATAGATTGATCCAGTTCTGGCATGTTTTGGGGTGTTTCCACTCTGTTCAGGACAGAAGCTCATATCTTTTGGTGGTGGGGTAGGCCTCAGGGTGTGCCTTAGCCTCTTAAAACTAGGGGTCATTATGCCTCCCCAGCTGTTCTACAGGGAGTCATAGATCTTTGCAAGGGGGTCATTTTTTCAAAATATTAATTGATGTCAGATTTCATAATAAATTTCACTTGTGAAGATCTGGGTAGCGAATAGATCTTCAGCAACCCATAAAGCTTGTTGGAAGAGGCGATGAACGGGATCGGGTGATCAGGCTAGCTGACTTGGTTGATGCATGTCATCATATCCCAAATGCATAGATCGATGCTCATGATGTAAATCACTGGATTGTCTGGTCCACACTCGATTATTTACAGACCACTGTCATGTAGCTGTGATATTGCTGAGTGCAGCGTTAAACAACTAAAAAAACCCAACAAAATGTAATATATTTAATTTGGTCCTTATTAATAGTATCTTGTTCCTCTCTAACCCTTCTTATAGATCATGTTTTAGGTACTATCTATGCAGTTATTAATCTACTTAAATCATATAGTTCATTTATTTGAAGATAAGAGATTGATACTGACTAAGAAAACATCTGCTATCAGGGATGAAAATGAACAAAAAAACAAATTAAACAAACCCACAGCACTTGTGCATTTTTTATCTGCAAGCCCTGCAAAAGGTTACCAGTCCTTATGAAATAAGAAGACATTTGACAAGTATCACTAAATATCAACAGAGTGTGGCCTTTATTCTTATTTCTTGCTTCCGTTCCAATCGTCAAAGATAGTGTGAACTCGGAAATATGAATGTTATGCATTTCACTTAAATGTTGAACGCAGCAATTTTACAGTGGCAATCGAGAGGATGATTGCTAATTCATAGAATGTGGTAAAACACTTAGAGGCTCTACCATCAAGAGACTTTTGTTAAACCAGGCCTCATCATTGCAGCCTTTCGACCCGTGAAGATATGGGTTACATGTACAATAGGTCTTCAGAACATGCTTGCTGTAAAAAGCGACTATACTTGTCGTAAGAGGCGACTAACGGGATTGGGTGGTCAGGCTTGCTTGACTTGGTTGATGCATGTCATTGAATCTCAATTGCGTGGATCAATGCTCATGATATCAATCACTGGATTGTCAGGTCCAGACTCGATTATTTACAGACCGCCGTCATATAGCTGGAATATTGCTGAGTGCGGCGTTAAACAAGAAACAAACAAACAATGCATCCTTTCCCCAAGAACCACCTGTTCCAGTAGAAAAGAGACAGTCATGTGATAGTTTTGTAAATGCTTTTGGACGTAAGCTACTGGAACTGTTTCACTCATCATTGATATATCTTCAGCTGACTAACTGCACAAAATTTAACATTTGAAGCCTCAGGCTGTGCATTCAGTTCCCAATTCAATTTAGCGTGGTTAAGTCTACAGGTAACTTAGCTCTACATGGAAAACACAGTATGTTTATCTCCTAATTATAGTTGCCAGACTCTGTACTGTACACAATAAGTTATGTGTCGTTATTTCTTTAACCACAGAACATAATCCAGAACAATAACATCTTTGTTTGACTTCAACATCAACATATTTCATTTTGAAAGTCAAGTAGTAGATTCTGAGTGGTCAGCCTGTTGTCTCACTTTGAAGAATTAATATTCCTCGTTTATTGCAATCTGTGACACTTTGGTTGAAAATCAGAACTAGATTTTGTCAATGTAATTATGTCATAGAAACCTTATGATATTAATTATCATTAAACGTGAAGAAATTCCTGTGTTTTTGATCTTAGCATTATGCTGCATATCTTTGGATTTAAAAGTTTGTCACATATATTTTCTTGATTTCAAACATGTGCCAACAAGCATCGATTGGTCTGAGTATTTCATCAAACTGGAAGTGATATCCTTATTGTGAAATTGTGTAATGTACCATATTTTCTTGAGTATAGTGTGCACCCTAGTATAATGCGCAGTATTTTGGAATTCATATTTATGTGGAGAGAGAAATGTGATTTTCAGTTTTTAAGTTTTTTCTCAGACCAATAGTAACACTATTAGACCAGAAATTTCGGTCCTTCGTTAAGTAAGCTGGAGTCAAGGTTAAGGGCTGGAGGGGCATGCACATAACCAAACTATAGGTAATAGCCTCACACAGGAAATGCATGCGGGTAAGTAATTGGGGTATTCTTCTGGAAATGGTAATGAAAATGTTGAGCAAAGCCAATGCTGCCTTCTCAACGCTGTGGTAATGTTGCTAGACATATAATGGGATGTATCTCCCGTAGCGTTTTAAGAGGTCAGAGACGTAAGGGGGCGTAACTCCCAAAATACAATTCGCTGATGAATAGAAACTTTCTCTTTACCGGAATGGATAGTTGTGGCAAAGGAGAGAGCCCGAGTAAGAGGTTTACAAATATCCTACTACATTGGTTGGCACAGAGATACCATTTATAAATACTCAATATTGCTTTGTAAAACAGTGTTTTATTGTATCAGTGCTTCTAGAAAAGAAGAAACGGGATAGAAGAGTGAAGGTGGATAAGAACGGTGGGGAAGAGGGACTTTTGACGGCAGATGAATCAAGTGCAGGTGAGGATGCGTGTGGACCATGATAAGTAATTAGGTTGGATACTATGATGTCAACAGTCTTGTTGGGAGTAGTAAGACATGAAGGGAAATAGATAAAAAAGTTAGAGCGAGGCAGATAGGCCCAAGGTTTTACAATTTTATCTATCCCCCAAGGCCAAATTTGAGGTCGTGAACTGATGTATAAGCCGACATCTTCATAAATTGATATTCTTATGTATAACATTTGATAGTCACGATATGGATGAATACTGCCGATGTGACTTTAAGTTTTAACTCACTCACTCACTCTTTAAGTGATACATCCATTAATCAAATATTAATTTAATATTCATACCCATATTTAGAATGAGTTTGTCTGATGCTCATTAATATGCTAGCATGTGATCCAACTGGTTGGCAACACACACGAACCACGTGCTCAGTGAATCTTTACTTCATCACCTGCCCAAATGGCTCAGTGGGAAAACACTGGTTACAATACTAAACATGAGCTATGTGGTAGCAGGTTCCATTCACGGCAAACTAAAACCTTAGGTCTTGCTTGTAAGATGTAAAACCTCAAAACAGATCTTGCACGGAAAGAAAAACTTCTTTATGTATAGTCAATGTCGCTCCAAGTTTTCAACTTGAGTGCAAATACTTGCTCAGAGGAGAAAACCCTATCCAGAGCAATGAGATGACGTCACTGGAGGTTTATAATTATTGTAAAGGCTTGCAATATTTGGAGTGATGTTTGACATCTAACTTTGGTTGGTTGTAGTATACTTCACAAAACATGGTAGGTTAATCTCCATACTGTTGTCATAGTCACAGACATCTCAAACAAACACATTGGTTTATGTTATAATCAAATATTCCATATTTATTTAAGAACTGACTTCAATATGTTTTGCAATTATGGAGTCATAAATGTAGAAATGGGTGTGGATACTGGGTTAGTCTACAATTTACAGAATTTGATGTATTTCAGCTTCGTCACAAGAAGTCCAGAAGGAGAGTCCTTCCACATCGGAAACATGTACACAAGTGATAATTGATCAGAGCCAGCACTATCATGCACCTGTCACAAACATCACAGCCTGCAGTGGCGTACAGATCGGACCAAACAACAGCATGACCAATCAACCAGACCAGGATGGAGATGATGAAATTTAATGTCAGCATGAAGGATGACTCTGTAACAAGTGTTTGTCTGTAAGAAGAGTGTTTTCATTTTGATACAGCACACATACAATTATTTCAGTTGAACAAATCTACTGACGAGATAAGAAATACAGCTGCATATTGGTTACACAGGTTAGATGTGCTAGATGATTTTCTTATTTTGAAGGGATTTAATATTATGGTGAAAATTAGGGTTTGGAGTCTATGTAAGCAAAATTTAGTTAAAAAATTAATCATCATTGATATCTCAATATAACAAATTTATTTCAATGTAAACAGAATTATTGAACTCAAACAATGCCATATAACACATCACTTCCACTTTTACCAAAGACTTTGCTTTTTGTAATGGTAATGGTTTGGCTTCAAATGAAATTTATTGGGCATGAATCTAGGTTTATCATCTAACACAAAACACGAACAACTATGTAAGCAAATAATTGTGAAGTTATCAGTTAAAATAATGACAGACCAATGATATGTTTGTTAAGTTAGATGCTTGACTCATGATGCCATATATATTCACGACTCTGTTGGAAGTTTAGGGTGTGAATGAGACGTGCAGGATTCCGTACTAACATTCCATGTTCATCTAAACATGTCAGTTATATAAATGACTTATTTCTGGAATGCAGTGAACCTTTTCCTGATAACTATTTCTGATGATTTGTAAGTAATGCATTACTTGTATACAGTTTCAGATAAGCTTTTAAATAAAGTACAAGAAGAAGACAGAGTTGTCAATATCCCCTGCTGTTGTAAATACTTGTTATGAAAAGCGATGGGTAAGGAGAAGCTGGAAAGCGAAAAAAAGCAATCAAAAGTGCTACTTAATGTCAGATAAGATGTCAATTATTATGTTTTGTTATTGTATTTTAAAAATAGGAAAAATGAGTATTTGTGAAAAAAACCTTTATTTGCCAATGACTACAAGGAGTGAAATTGGGGATAAATTATACTCTATTTATCCCCAATTACACTCATTACATCTCATGAATGAGATGGACAGATCACGTACATGTCTTAGTAATGATGTATCCATGTCACAGTTTAATGATCAACAATGTAATCCAAAACAATGCACATTGCTGCAGTTTATAACACAGCAGTTTATATAATGAAGTTTCTTATGATCTTGATCAAAGTTGAAGAAGCACAACAATATATATTAAGAACAATCAATATCATGAGCATCCATCCACGCAATTGGGATCGATGACATGCATCAACCAAGTCAGCGAGCCTGACCACCCGATCCTGTTAGTTGCCTTTTACGACAAGCATAGTCACCTTTTACGGCAAGCATGGGTTGCTGAAGACCTATTCTACCCCGGAATCTTCAGGGGTCCCAGACAGGAAGTATTTAAAGAAATCTGTAAATCATTTCCCGCCATTTTGGGAACTGGAATAATTCGTGTAATTCCTTCATGTTACTTAAATTAGATAACTGATATCAATAATTGATATGAAGATATCATCAAAATTATTAATGATATCTTTAATTGGATTTTTGATATCAGTAACGGTCAGAATTAATGATATCTTGAATTGAATTAAAGATATCTCTAATTGAAATAAAGATATCTCTAATTAATTTAAAGATATCTGTAATGCATTTGTGGATATGTATAACTTATTTCAAGATATCTTGAATTTATTTCTACTATATTTATGTATAGTAGAATGGTAATTGTTTAATGATATCTTAAATACATTTAGAGATATCACAAACTAATTTGTTGATATCACCTTAACATTTTAAGATATCAGTTATTGTATTATGGATATCATAGATGAATTTAAGATATCTATAATTATGTTTTGATATCTTAAAAACATTATTGATATCTTTAAGTAAAATACCGATATCTTTTAAAGAATTGAAGATATCTGTAATTCCGTAATAAATGTGAAAACGGCTTGCCCTACGATCCCACTGTAAAGCAACGACAGTCGTTGGTCTAAGTTAAAGTATGTGACTTGCGATAACCTTAGGGCTACAATAGTTTTGTGGAACGGACGCCTGAATTCTGAAGGTAGACCGTTGTATGGTATTAAATTCATACGTTTCAACTTTTGACGTGTTTGAAGTATTATTATGTTGAACTCAATTGGATTATGCCGTGCGTCGTGTAGGTGTCAGCCTATTAACACTCAACATTATAATTCTAAAAACGTTATAAATGGCAAGTAATAAATACCACAGATAACAGGGCATATATCAATATTCATGCGCAACCAGATTTTGCAACCGGTTTCAGTTTGGTCTGTCAACGAACAAAAGTTGTTATGTCTTTACACTTACATACATATTTAACGTGGGTAATAAATAAAATACCACACTCATTCTCGTTAGATACCATTTTTACGAAACTCGTGAACTTTCGTGAGCTTTCGCTCGATCAGATACCATAGAAAGTCCACTCGTTTCGGAATGGTATCTAACGAGAATGAGTGTAGTATTCTCTATACCTGCACCAGAGCATCGTGAGTGATTGAATTCAAATTTAACATCGTATCAGGATTATTTCACCCATATAACATTGTACCTAGCCATTAAACAAAGCAAGGAATGACATACAGAGTTCTTTTATTTTTATCAACTCATTTTTATGGACACAGGGTGGTGTCAATTACCAGATTTTTAGACCAGGAATTTGTCCAAAACTAGAACTGTCCATGGCCAGATTTGGAGACATACTAAGGAAATATGTTTAAATTTTTGATCACCAGCAAAATCACTCAACAAAGGTAAATAATTTCATGGCAATGAATCATCACTGATCTTAATTGGTTTCCAGGTTAAATGTGTCCATATTAAACATGACAACGGTAAGACCAATCTAGATGGCCTGGCATTTTAACAAGTTCAAAGAGCTTACAACAAACTGCATCTGCATTTTTAGCTCACCTAACTGATTGTGAAATGGGCCAAATGGCCGTCACGGCAGCCATATTGATAAACGGACATGGCATGTTTTGTTCAAAATTTACAGAAATTGATATATGTGTAGTTAGTAGTGGGGCTCAAATGTTAGATTTTTGCGCCATTTTAAAAGTTGATCTTTACTTGACTTTTGCCCTCTGACCATGTTCCCAAATGGCTAAATTCACTAAATGCTATTATTTCCTCAGAATCCACAAGATCAATGAAGCTGCATCTTGACATGTTTGTTGCAACCAATGGTGACATGTGAATTTGTACAAGAAGTGAACATTCTTGAAAAACATAATTATGCTTCAGATCTTTAAGACGAAAAATATTGCCTGCCACAGAAGAGGTGTTTTTCTTTAAAAATAATATTCAGCTCATAGTTTTAAATAAAAAATATATCTATTTTTGCAGCTGAAGCTGAAAAAGATATCTTATCTCGATACAAAATCCCAGCCACGACCCCACCCCCTCGAGAGTATCAAATGGTCAGTCCCTAAGTGTTCTGTATATTTCAGTTATATTTACAGTGTGTCTTCCAATATTGATTAGTTATCTGAACTGTGACTCAAGCTCTCAGCATCCTATCTCCTGTTTAGAAGTAAGCTGTTTATTTCATTGCAACCATAGGATCACACTATCCTCTGTGTGACAACTGGCAAAATCTGTATGTGGGACAAATGACATGTCCGACTATTGGGTGGGAACTGCCACAAGCATTGGTTGCATGGGACTTATTCTGAACAAGAAATCCCAACAAAGTTGTGTTTTCATGTTATCATGAATTCATGAGTCATTATGCATTGTTTACACCCACTTATGACACATGTTACTCCGAATACACTTGAATTTCTTAAGATAAATTTTGACATAAGCAAATGAATTTCCATGCATTCATAGCAAGTTCAATATTGGTTTAGCCCCTGTGAAGATCTGGGTTAGAATAGGTCTTCAATGACCCATGCTCCGTAACAGGCGACTATGCTTGTCGTAAAAGGCGACTAACGGGATGGGTGGTCAGGCATGCTGACTTGGTTGATGCATGTCATCGTATCCCAATTCCGTGGATCGATGGTCATGATGTCAATCACTGGATTGTCTGGTCCAGACTCGATTATTTACAGACCGCCGTCATGTAGCTGGAATACTGCTGAGTGTGGCGTTAAACAACAAACAAACAAACAGAATTTGGTTAGTTATATAACCTTGTCCCTGAAAGCTATACGGATGTGATCCTGTAACAGGATTTTGTAAAGATAGTTTTCAGGAATAAAGTTTTAGCTTTTTCATTTCAAGTAGTTTTTATCTTTATAAGTTGCATCATATGTTGTATGCACCTTGGTTATGAGTCCAAGCCGTTTATTCTATTCATGTTCCGTTGTCTCAAACACTTCCGCTTCTCAATACAATATCTTTCAGCTCCCTAGCTGATTAACATTATACGACTTTCTTCCTTAGCGTGGATGGGATCGGGTGGTCAGACTCTCTGTCTTTTCGTGGGTCGAGGCTCATGATGTAAATCGCTGGATTGTCAGGTCCAGACTTGATTATTTACAGACCGCCGTCATATAGCTGGAATAATGTTAATAGTGCGGCGTTTAACAACAAACAAACACACGACCAAAGAATAAATGTTCATACCGTCCTTGGCCTCCCTAAATGTGATCACGTCGTTTTGTTCTTTTCGCTGGTAAAATGTTAGAAGGTCTGCACTGTCTCTTTTGCAGGATTTGCGGCTATCGTCCCATGACTTAGGATCTCGCACGCTAAATTTGAGACACAGTTTGATGGACACTTGGACATATCCCTCATGCGACGAACAGATACTTCCTGGAAATAAGTGAACAATTGACTTGCCTTTGCATGTATTTGTGACGGGTGGCCATTGGCGGGGCAGGATACGCTCACCTTTTCGCGAACATTTGGCATCATCGATATTTGATAGTGATTCATAAACATATGATCATGATATAATGGGAATCGTACAATCGACTTGTTTTTGACAGAGATTTCTTGTGAATCTGGATCGATGCTCATGATGTCAATCACTGGATTGTCAGGTCCAGACTTGATTATTTACAGACCGCCGTCATATAGCTGGAATATTGTTGAGTGCGACAAAGAAACTTAGTATTTGCACATTTTGTAGTTACACTGCTTATAACTGCACAGAGGTCATTGTCAACATGTTGCTCGATGAGTTATTTACGTATTCTTTACTTAAATGAAATTCTAACTTTTCTATGAAATATGTTATCATTAATGTAAATTATTGTTAATGTTTATCTGTTATATTAAATAACCAGTATATCTTCTATTTTAACAGTGTAACGTGTTTAATATGTGTGTATGTGTGAGAGCATGATTTGATGATAGTTTTGAATGTAGAGCTTGACTTAGACTTTGGGTTTCTATAATTTCAGGTAAGTGTCGCCATAATTGATAAGTATGTATATTCAGGCATGATAGTTACATGTTGTATTTACTTATTATAGACCCGTGAAGATCCGAATTTGAATAGGACTTCAGCAACCAATATTTGCCGTACACTAGTCGTAAGAGGCGATTATCGGGATCGGGTGGTCAGGCTCGCTGACTTGGTTGATGTATGTCATCGTATTCCAATTGCTCATGACGTCAATCGCTGGATTGTCTGCTCCAGACTCGATTATGTACAGACCGCCGTCATATAGCTGGAATACTGCTGAATGCGGCGTTAAACAACAAACTAAACCAAACCAAAACTTAAGGTAGGATATAACCAACAGTTGTATCTTTGAATGTTATAGTCAAAGTATATAGTATATCATGGTATCCCCCACCCCCCCTCTTTCATGAAGTAACACCTCCATCTGCCTTTCTGTCTTATTACTGATACATTACAAGTAAACTCTTCATCAGGTGTTCCGACGCTCGATCCAATGATGCAATGATTGTATACTGTTAGGTCATGTGACTTGGTATTGTAAAAAGGTTTCTGAAACTTGGTTTATTTATTCACAAGTTGCAACACCACTTCATTTGAAACATGCATATATTTATTGTTAGTGTTAATATTCAATGGAAAGTGCTACACTTCACTCAGACTCGCCATAACCTGTTGTAGGCAGCCTTATTTGGCAGATGTAGCCGTACTTAAGTCCGCAATATTTATTACGTATTCCCCTTTTGTTTAAACTAACACAGTTGAAAGAAGTTACAGACGATGGACTGTTCGGGCTCCAAATTCCAACGAAGATGCTGTCCGAAATCGCGATGAAACGTTTTCTGCTTCTCTTTACACCAATCCAAAATAACTTTCCGACTGAAACATAAAATGTGACATTCCACATTTAAATATGATATTAAGGACATGATGTGACTATGATGTGCCATAAAGAAGTAATTTCAATTATTTTCTGGTTACTTCTAGTTTTTTCCTAGTGATTTCGATTATATTTTCGTTATTTCAGTTACGTTAAAAAAACCTCGGAATTAACGTTTTTCTCGTTATTTCAATTATTTTCTCCTAATTTAGATTATTTCTCATTTTTCCAAGTTGATCTGATCGATTTTTTCCTCGTTACTTCGATTATATTTTCGTAATTTCAATTTTTTCTTTTTACTTCGATTGTTTTCTCGTGATTTCGATTATTTTTTCCTTATTTCGGTTATGTTTAAAAAACTCGAAATTTTTATGTTGTCATTATTTCGAATGCTTTCTCGTTATTTCAGTTATTTTGTCCTAATTTAGTTTATCTCAGGAACTCAAAATATCTAATGTATTCTCATTGCTTCAATTATTTCTCGTTGCTTCGATTTTTTCTCTCGTTAATCGAATTTATCCCCAATACTCGAAATTTCGATATTTTTCTCGTTATTTCAATGAATGTCTTGTAATTTCGAGTTTTTAATAAATCGAAATAACTTGAAAATAATTGAAATAACGAGAAAGAACTCTTAATATCGAGAAAATAGTTGAAATAACGAGAAAAATATCGAAGCAACGAGAAAAAAATCGAAATGAATAATGACTTTTCCAAGAGATGTGGAGACAGGTTACAGTTTCAATTTAACAAACTTTCACAAACACCAGATTTGGTCTAAATGAATACGTGGCATATACGTTTTAAAATATCTACCAGTCTTTAGAAGTTACGTGTCAATTCCCAAATTGAAACAATATGATAACCCGGAAATCTGTACGCAAATGAACTTAGTGTGAAACCAACAAACAACCACTAAGTGGTAAACAATCAACAAGTGTATTACAAAAATTCACTAGGTTTGCAATCAATACACATTTCTGCACAGCAATTACAATGGCAGTACACAATTGTGTGGTAGTACCATATTCAATGGCAATACATAATATGATGCCAGTGGTCAGTATCAAATACACTAAGAGATACGATGTAGTTCACCATTCGTGACTGATACGACAGGTTGTACACGGAGAGATACGATGTAGTTCACCATTCGTGTCTGATACGACAGGTTGTACACGGAGAGATACAATGTAGTTCACCATTCGTGTCTGATACTACAGGTTGTACACGGAGAGATACGATGTAGTTCACCATTCGTGTCTGATACTACAGGTTGTACACGGAGAGATACGATGTAGTTCACCATTCGCGTCTGATACGACAGGTTGTACACGGAGAGATACGATGTAGTTCACCATTCGTGTCGGATTCGAAAGGTTGTACACTAAGAGATACGATGTATTTCACCATTCGTGTCAGATACTACATCTTGTACAGGAAGAGATACGATGTAGTTCACCATTCGTGTCTGATACGACAGGTTGTACACGGAGAGATACGATGTAGTTAACCATTCGTGTCTGATACGACAGGTTGTACACGGAGAGATACGATGTAGTTCACCATTCGTGTCTGATACTACAGGTTGTACACGAAGAGATACAATGTAGCTCACCATTAGTCTGATACTACAGGTTGTACACGGAGAGATACAATGTAGTTCACCATTCGTGTCTGATACGACAGGTTGTACACGGAGAGATACGATGTAGTTCACCATTCGTGTCTGATACGACAAGTTTTACACGAAGAGATACAATGTAGTTCACCATTCGTGTCTGATACGACAGGTTGTACACGAAGAATTACGATGTAGTTCACCATTCGTGTCTGATACTACAGGTTGTACACGAAGAGATACAATGTAGTTCACCATTAGTCTCTAATACTACAGGTTGTACACGGAGAGATACGATGTAGTTCACCATTCGTGTCTGATACTACAGGTTGTACACGAAAAGATACGATGCAGTTCACCATTCGTGTCTGATACTACAGGTTGTACACGAAGAGATACGATGAAGTTCACCATTCGTGACTGATACTCAATATCCATCACTGGATTGTCTGGTCCAGACTCGATTATTTACAGACAGCCGTCATATAACTGGAATAATGCTAATAGTGCGGCGTTTAACAACAAACAAACACACGACCAAAGAATAAATGTTCATACCGTCCTTGGCCTCCATAAATGTGATCACGTCGTTTTGTTCTTTTCGCTCGTAAAAGGTTAGAAGGTCTGCACCGTCTCTTTTGCAGGATTTGCGGCTATCGTCCCATGACTTAGGATCTCGCACGCTAAATTTCAGACACAGTTTGTTGGACACTTGGACATATCCCTCATGCGACGAACAGATACTTCCTGGAAATAAGTGAACAATTGACTTGCCTTTGCATGTATTTGTGACGGGTGGCCATTGGTGGGGCAGGATACGCTCACCTTTTCGCGAACATTTGGCATCATCGATATTTGATAGTGATTCATAAACATATGATCATGATATAATGGGAATCGTACAATCGACTCGTTTTTGACAGAGATTTCTTGTGAATCTGGAAAGGGTTTTGTCGCTTTTATTTGCCGGTGGTAATTAACATAATTTATTTGTTATTATGGTGGCCATCCACTTGGTTCGCCTATATTTTATAATAACAATAACATCCAGTGACATCATCCTGTTGTTCTCCAATCGGTATATAAATATATATATATACTGAACCAAATTAAAAACTTCACAATCCTAAAATTTTAACATTTTGACCAGTTATCATTGTGGGCCCTTATTGTGTATTTAAACAGTAATGGCCACGTATTGTCTTCAGATAACACCCGTTTTTGTGCTTGTGAATCAATCAAAATCATGTGCACAGCACAATAGTGGCAAAATTGTTTTTTCACGTGCAACTGGTCACGTGGCCATAATACCGCACGTGTTTTCAGCCATACTTTTAGCAGTCATTAACAAAAAAGAAAAACACACGAAAACAAAAGTCTTTACGGCCATTTGTCATGCCACGCCTTTCAAATGTGCAACGTGAACGTGCCATCGGCATGTTGCAGACGGGAACGTCCGTAGCTGAAATCGCAAGGACGATGGGTTGTAGTCGACGGACTGTTTATGATTTACAGACGCGTCTACAGTAAACGGGTACCACCGCTGATCGCCCACGGCCAGGTCGACCACGTGTGATGTCACATGCAGAGGATCGTCAGATTGTCTTACGGCACCGATTTTTGACGGCTACATCAACCAGAAATGAACTGCTTAGGGGTAGACTGAGTGCGCAAACTGTTCGAAACCGTCTGAGAACTGCTCACCTTCAAGCACGACGGCCATACTGCTGGCCGATTCTGACTCAATTACACAGACGTCAACGTCAATTGTGGGCACAGCGACACTTACGATGGACTCAGAGGAATTGGAATCAAGTCGTCTTCAGTGATGAATTCCGATTTAATCTTCGATTTGCTGATGGTAGGGTGAGGGTGTGGAGGCGCCGTTATGAACGTTACGCCCAGTGTTGTGTACAGGAAGTACTGATACATTTGTCCGTTGTATATCATATATGGGATTACTTTTTAAAATGTGAAGTTTTTAATTTGACTATATATATATATATATATATATATATATATTATATATACTATATATATATGGATGGCTGTATATCCCCGTTGTACAAAACGAAGTGTGAGGAATGATGTAATATCACATGACAAATGGTTTCTGTATATTTTAGTGGAAACCACCCGTGACGATAGAATAGGTCTTCAGCAACCCGCGCTTGACGTTAAAGGCGACAATGCTTGTCGTAAGAGACGACTAACAGGATCGGTCGGTCAGACTCGCTGACTTGGTAGATGCTTGTAATCGATCCCAATATCATGAATATTGCTGAGTTACACAACAAACAAACAAACAAACAATCAAACAAACAGTGGAAACCACATGGGAACACATGACTCCGGTGGTCTTCAAAGCAATAATAACATTCAAAGCTGCAAGGATGCGACAATCGTTCCGCAATATCACGGAGGGTGACGCCATCAATGGGCCTCACACATTGTTCCCCATTCGATAATCTTAGGCGATACGAGCGGACGTTCTGACCTCAAAGCTACCGCATCGCCCATTTTCTTACATGAACCAATGGTCGTATATCATAACGATATAACAAAATATAGCTTGATCAATATCAACTTGGCCTATGTCAGATCGTCCTCTATATCTACACAATGTACCTGCATTGGAAGATGGGGCCTTTTCTATCGTTATTTTCGATGACACTGAAATGAAAAGAAAAACATACTGTATTGCAGTACTTAACACATACGTGTAGGTTAGGAGAGGTGAGGTGAGGTGAGGTGAAATGGGGTTGAACGTCGCGTTCAATATTATTGCACTCATATCGCGACGTGGATGCACGTGAATCTTTTTTTAAATGTTTATGACAGTTTCTGGCACTTAACCAAGGCGTTTTCAAGGAAAGACAAATATGTATTTGATTGAAAATATGACTTTCCTTTATAATTCTTGTTTCATGATGACAGGGCAACTTTTATACACACTAGCTGAGGAAGTTGTGATACTGTGATTGCATACAAAGGAAAAACAGGTTGGCAGCAGTACCTGTATGTAGACCACATAAGGTGAACTAAAGTCATGGGGCGTGGCTGACTGGAAAAAATACATCTGGCAAGGTAAACATGTACACAGACACATTTCTTTTTACTCCAACCAGAAGACTGAGACAAACAGAACATGATACGGACCTTTTCTGACCGGATATTCTGAGACCCATCAAATGATCAAGGATATCAGATCCATAGCTTGTGATGATCTGAATTTATGTTAATTTTTTTATACATCACACTGACTGATACACGAAAAACTGTTGACCAAACTCCACAATGGTTCATGTAACTTCAGGGACACGAGGCTCACTGTCAGACACCCGAGCATACTGTAACAAACCTGGAAAGTCCTGCCAGACTAATTACACATTATTTTATTGGTGAGAACCCAGACAAAAAAACATGCATAAGGTAGGATATTTCCATGTACGTTTCTGCAACAGAACAGAACTGCAAGAATTGTCAACATGCCCTATTTCCTTTTCAAAAGATAACATTTTCTTATAACATATGGCTAACTCACCAGCTTATGTGCCACAGTGGTTCGTGTGATTAAACAAACAAAAATGTCATGTACTGTTACAAGTAATTAATGTATCATATTCCTATTACAAATATATTTAAGAATTGTTTTATTTGGAAACAAACCACTTAATGCACAAGATTAATGTCCATATGAGTTTAGTATGTATATGTCAAGGATCTGATCAATTTATTCATTATTCATGGAATACTTAAATTAAATGATGACATCAAATAGGTACTTATTCACACAATTAATGTTCAGAGTGAAAGATAGTAATTGTAGAATAAAATATCTGTAAAATGAAGATAATAATTGAAGTTTGATCAGTAACACTGTGCTGATGCATTGACCAATATATATAGACGTATTGCGTGGGATACACTTATCATAGTGAAACTTATCAGCGTGTACAACGCAGAAATATGAACCATGTCCATTTATATTCACCGTAATTTTGAATGGTGATTCTTAAATATCAACAAAAGTTCAAATAAAAGATACCGAGAAACTTGAATGTGGCATGTTGATTTATCGTCTACCGTTTCCGGATCCCGGGAGCATGCAAGGTCAAACGGAATAAATAATACGCCAATTATATCGTCCAAGTCACCTTTATTTCATATTAGTGGTGATTACTGATACAATGTATTGACTGTAATTGTTTTGGTACTAAAAATCTTTGACATCACATCCGGTGACCTTTGCAATTACTAAAATATTGCTGTCAGAATTCACCATATTAATTTTCGTTTATCTCTCGTCAAATTAACTGGAAAATGACGAATAAAACATTCTTCGATCGTCAACTTTCGCCAAGGCATATTTATAAAGGCAATGTAAACTTTGTTGATATTGAAATTGCAAAAAGTTATTCAGAGGTCTGGGAAGCGCGCCATGTTTGATTTTAGGACGTCTGCTAGCATCAAGGCACGGTTTTTTTTAGTTTTGTATATCATAAATATTCAAACAAAACGTTTCAAATTAGGATAAATGAATATTTATAAGTCATTAATTGTTTCCTGCAAATTTTATAACATGACACATCAGATTAACCCGAATGTTATTTCTGCACATGATAACCTCGAAAATTAAGTTATTTTTCTGTTTAACGTTTAGATAATAAAAATACTGAAATGGTTCATAATTAACCATCGCGCTGTTATTTGCCGATACAAAAACGAATGTTTAGTCAATTAAAATTCAGATATCGGAGATATGATTCTTGAAATCAATTTGCACAATTGTTACGATATAAAATGATTCCTAGCATGAAACGCAAACCACCTTCAATAACGCAATTCAGGAAAGTTCAAGAAAATTTACAAATTTTGTGTTCGCTTTGGTCTTAACCATCGGGATATGTTTATATGGTACTGTGTAGTTTTCTATCAGGAATAAATGTGCAAAATATTTCTTCAATTGGCCCTTGTATAATGAGGCACCGACTGTTTGAAATCAGCCACCTTTTTTAAAGTGCCTTATGCTAAAATTAATCCAACATACTGGTCGTATGAGGCGGTGGCACATGTGACCAGGGTGACATCTAACACATGTATAACCTAGCGAAAATACCAACCTTGTACTTGTCCTGGCAGCTTTTGGACGTTCTTATTGCTTTGAAGACCACCAGAGAGGGGAATGCTCTTAGTCTTTTCTAATTGTGATGAAAATAAGAAAAATCATTAAGGGATTGTGTTGCTGTGTAAATGTTGTCTTATGCACATGCATAGTTTCTACCTCTTAAGAGCGCAGGTAATCGACGAGAATAATGGTAAAATGATGTATTGGGCTGAAATTGTCCATGTTAAAACTTTAAACTTAATTTATATACCAGTACGTTTCATTACATGAATGAGTGAAAAGGGTTTTACGCCGCTTTTAGCAATCGTCCCGCAATATCATGAGGGTGACGCCGTAAATGGGCTTTATACATTGGCTCACAAGGCTACCGCTTCGCCCACTTTCTTACATGAACCAGTGGTCGTATATCATAATGATATAAGAAAATGTACACAATGTACCTGCATGGGAAGATGGGGCCTTTTGTATCGTTGTTTTCGATGACACTGAAATGAAAAGAAAAACATACTGTAATGCAGTACTTAACACATACGTGTAGGTGAGTAGAGGTGAGGTGAGGTGAGGTGAGGTGAGGTGAGGTGAGGTGAAATTGGGTGAGTGTTTGCGGTTGTTTGTACTACCCATTAAGAGCACAGGTACCCTGTGGGAATTCGAGTTAAAATTGTACCCAATAACCTGTCCTGGAGTATATCAAATAGGTTACACATGCTACCCATATATCAAGGAGATACTTTGACGACCAGAGTTCTTAGATCAAAACATAGATCGCACTGAGGAAGAGAACAGTGTCTGTGTTTGTACTAACCTTTACACTGGGACTCCAGCACTTGAATTTTCCTGTCGTTTTTAGAAACCAATTTGAGCAGGTTCGCAATTTTATATTCTAACTCTGAAGTCGAAGTAAAAAAGTTGTTAATTCGAATCTTTCATGTAACTGTGCTTCATATAAAGTTCAATAAATATTAAATGTTTTCTCAAATAAAATAATGCATTTTTCAATACATCTTCAAGGCAATTGAGGTCGTGATTCACAATTTGCAGGAACATGAGAATTGTAATATGACAGTGTATTGTATTGTTTAACAGTAGCTATGTTGCATTGTTTCTGTTGGGTTTCGGTAGACGCTCAATGTATTGTGTTAGGACAGTGATCAGTCGCCAGGACGTTACTATATGTAGATGTTTGTGCGGTGTGTATGGAAACTTCTTTAATGTTCTTGTACCGTTAGACTGGTGAGTAGCTTGTTAGGGTGTATATGTTATGGGACAAGTGCTTGTTTACGTATCTCTCACACATTTTCATCACACCAGAACCAGGTTTCATGTGAGGATCGCTAATCATTCCTTAATCCCTGCCTAGCCCATCTCGGAAGCTTGACCACCGTCGCCGCTGGGTTGACATATATGATTGTCACTAAGTTTTGCTGTGGCCGCTGCGATCATATTATATATTGCCATATTGTACTACCATTCTATTGTGTACTGCCATTGTAATTGCTGTGTAGAAATGTGTATTGATTTGTAAACCTAGTTAATTGTGTAATACAATTGTTTATTGTATACCATTTGATGTTTGTTTGATGGTTTCACACTAAGTTCTTTTACGTACAGGTTTCTTGGTTAACAAGTTGTTACAATTTGAGAATCACGGCGCATAACGCACTATGCACGGCGCACATTGATAATGATATTGTTTGTGTGTTTGTTGGCATGATACTCGCAACACGTGGTTTCTGAATGTAGAGAGCACATAATGATTTTTTAGCTTACAGGTGCTCATAAAAACACTTTTGTTTAACCGTAAATAACGCTAACCAAATGCCACGGCTTGCTGAAAATCAATGTCTTAGCGCCGTGGGTGATGCTGCAAACGGTAATGGCGCAAACGAAGTTTGCAGACTTTTTAATGTTCACGGAAATACAAGATCATCTCTTTGGAGACGTTATCTACAGCAGGGCATCAGTCGTGACATGCCTAGGGCCGGTCGTTCACGTTTGACGCCAAGTCAACAAGACAATCATATTCGGTCGGTGCATCTGCAGAATCGGCCATTTACAGCTGGACAAATCCTCGGTTTAGACCATTCTTTGGCAAAATCGTACGCAACCGGTTGATGAAACACAACGCCCAATTTTGTTTCCACGTCACCGTAAGGTACCTTAGCCTGGTGTAGACAGCGTCTGAGGCTCAGAAGACAAAGCTGGGAAGGTATACTGTTCACGCCAACGACAGGATCAGAAACAGCCGTTAAGGCTAGCTCCGCTGGACCAATCAATTGTTGTCATTTGGAACACTGTTTTCAATGATCTGGTGTCTTCAATGGGCCTCCGCTGCCTCGCCCGTATCAAAGCAAGTGGTGGTTATGTGGCAGGCTCAAGTATTTATACATCTGTAGATAACTTTTAATTAAGATTGATTAGTTTGTAGTAAGGTTGAATGACATTTTTACCATTTTAACTAAATAGTTTATTACGATATTTACATAATAAAATGAATTATTTGTTAGAATATTAGGTATGTTTTATACTTTAGTATTTTATACCTTAAACATTAATTCCATAGCTCTGTAACACTTAGTCAGTTTTATCTGATGTTTGGTGGAATAATTTTGTGTTCACTGCCAAACTTGAACTGTCATGTTTTGGGATTCCGAACGACTTTTACCACATTGAAACAATGCAGCCGAAAACAAAAGTCAAATAATCGTCAAAGATCGGCATGATGTAATGAATAAAAATGAATTGATAAGTTCCCATTTTACATCTTCCCCAGGCACTTTAAACGTCCAGTTTCCACCCTTGCCGAACTAGGCTGGAATAACTGGGCTCGACCGTAGCGCCACCGGTGGCTATTACCAGTTATGTCCCTTTTAAGCCTGCCCTAGCCTATGGGCCATTCAGATTCCATCGCTTGCGTTTGCTTCACACAAAATGGTGGCGCCTAGTCAGGACGATCTGATCGATAATCAAGATCTATATTGTGATAAAACGTGTCCTACATCGCGAAATGCATAAAATCACGTAAGCACCTTGATTAAAAACATGAAATGATTCAGAAAATATCTGCTGACAACGAGTTGGTGCTGCACATGTTTTGCAAATCCTGCAATCGACTAAAATCTGCACGACAGTTTACGAACCGGATTTCGATTTCGGTGCGCGATTTTGAGTGGACTATGAAAAGAAAAGAAGTTAGTTCAGCCAAATTGTAACTCCATAATACTAGCCTAGTTCGGCAAGGGTTGAAACTGGAATTTTATAGTCAGTTAACTCTCTCCCTCGGGAAGATGCCATACCGCGTTTTGATTTCGTCATAAGTGATACAGAATAGAGCCGTATCGTTCTTAGAACTAACTTAACGCCACTGCATAGTGGCGCAGATTCGCGCCATCAAAGCACTGCATGGCGTCATCAATGGAATGTCGCTGCACATTAGGAAAATGCGTATGATTTTATCCATTTCCTCTTTAATTAGCAGCCTAAGATACATACACTATGATGGTGTATCTTAGATGAACGTTAAATTACATTGTTGCAAGGTGTTTTTCTTAAAAAATAATTTCAAGATCATAATTTTATTTAAAACAAAATTTGTTTTGTAGCTGTGGGCGAAAACCAATCTCGACACAAATTGGCCCCTTGAACAACATCGTGCACACAAACCCTCTCTTTGTTCAGTTCGAAATCCTTTTTTAAAAATATTTATCTTAATCGTTAGTCACATGCACGCTTTTCCTCATGTGGCTACTCTTGCATATGAAGAAATAATACACATGCGAGCAAAAGATACAGATCGTTTGTGTTTCAACCGTAATGAAGGTCATATGATCTGACTTTTGCGTGCATGCATACGTAGATCAGCAGCAGTTTGCACGAACAGATTACCTTTCTTCAAAGAGGTAAAAATATGTTCCGTGCAACTTTGTCCAACCAAGACATGCCAGTGCCGGAACAACTGTACTTGGATCATGAAGTGGATGTCAGCGTGACACTATATGCATGGGAAGTAAATATACATATCATCAAATATATTTTTGGTCATCCAACTGTATACCAGGAGTATCTATATACACATATGCAAATGACAAAAATAGATATATATATTTATATGTTTTTAAATACTCACATGAGTTAAATTCTACATATAAATGGGGCTTTAAACAAGTTAGGGACACGGGTGGTCCAGTCGTCTAAGGCGTGGCAGTTCGCTGTGCAGAGTTGCATCCCTAGGGTACGCCAGAAACCTTTGATTGTGGGTTCGAATCCCGGGTCGCCCCGACTATGTTTCTAGGTTTGTCAGCACCTAACCCGTGCTCGTTGGTTTCACCGAAGTGGTAAACGTCAAATACCTGCATCACTTCGGGCTTTCCTCCCACATTAAGCTGACACGCCGTGATATAACTGAGAAAACTATTAAAAGCGGCGTTAAACCCAACTCACTCAGCCAATTTAAAAGGGTTAAATACTCTGAATACAAACCAGAGTACATTTATTAATGAAATCTTACTAGCTCTTGCATATCTGAAGCCTTCGGACAAGCCCTCAACAACAGTATTAATGTTTTCCAGCCAGACTAAGTAGAGGAAAAAAACACTTCCATATTCGTTTGTTTGTTTGCTGTTTAACGCCGCGAAATATAATCAGGGTCTGAATAGGTGAAGCGTTAACATGTGACCCTGGCAGACCAACGTGCATGTTCTCAGTATTCTACAATTGCTCAACACTATTTGGGCGCTGTTTTGTTGGTTTGTTTGTTGTTTAACGCCGCACTCAGGAATATTACAGCTATATGACGGCGGTCTGTAAATAATCGAGTCTGGACCACACACTCTAGTGACTGATATCATGAGCATCGATCCACGCAATTGGGATCGATGACAAGTATCAACCAAGTCAGCGAGCCTGACCACCCGATCCTGTTAGTCGCCTCTTACGTCAAACATAGTCGCCTTTTATGGCAAGCATGGGTTGCTGAAGACCTATTCTACCCTGGATCTTCACGGGTACAAATTCAGTTTGGGTTGTTCCAGACACAAAGGTTACATAAGACATGCATATATACCTACACAGAAGGTTTCGATTGATATGATACAGTGCTGAGAGGATGGCATCATGCTTGTTTCAGGTTATATAGAAAAGAAGTGAATACTTTGGGTGTGCGTGAGTACGTAGTTAAACCTATGTGTTGAAAGTTGGTATGGTCTCACTGCAGATTAGATACATCTTATGTCATTTGTCGGTCGCTAAACAGTAGGTTTATCTCCATTCTACCATGGCGGCAAGAACGCTTTGAAAATTTTGCTCTCTTGGAACGGGTAATTACACATGGGTACAAAGGTCCCTATCTATGGACATAACAAAATGGGCCACAGGTTGTAATCAATGTAACAAATATTACTAAAGTCTAAGATTGAAATACTCATAGTTTAGACGAGTTCAAAATAACGGTTCAAGACACATAGTTTTTTTCAAAAAGATGGGGTCAAATAACCCACCAAAGATACAAAGTTGTGTTTTACTTTCACGGCACTGTTTGGACTCAACCAAGTCATTTCTTGGAAATCGAAAATGACATCACCCACTGGAGGGGGACAGGCTGCAGTTAGTGAAAAAAATGTTGAATGAATTTATTTTCTGACAACCTTGATTAAGTTATTATATGTTTGTTGTTTTGAAGTTGAACTTATGTAGCAGTTGCGTTGAAATAATTACCCACCAGTAATGCATATTACGAATGACTCTCTCCCCACAACGAACTTTGAATTGGTTGAACTGGGCTTATTCCATTCTGTCCATGCCTGTCAAAATAGTTGTTCACCGTGACAGTGCTATTTACAAATTGCTTGATCCCAGAGGACAAACTCGATCTGTATACGTCAATGTTAAAATGCTACATTCGATGTTGTGTGTATGATGGATAACCTCGCTTGCCTTCATCTTCACTCTCTGTGTTGAGATATACTGTGATCCCTCAATGCTACCAGTATTTCTAATTATCTGAATATCATTTACCTAGTGCACACGTGGACACCGGACTAGAGAACCCTCTCACAGACTGGTCCCTGGGGATTATCAAGAGAGGTATTCATAGATGCAAGGTAAACCATCAGCACAGAAGTTACCGATCATGCCTTCTAATCTCTCTGCTTACACATTTTTAAGAAAATCGACTATGTTGCCTTCAAATGTGAAAACTCCAAAACTCCAGACAAGCAGTTGTGTATTCATGACGCCACATGGTATAGTGATAAAGTGCTTTAAGAAATAAGACATAGTAAAACCATTCAGTTTGGTCAAAGGATTCTGCAAGTCCCCCTGTGTAACATTGCAGGCTCGTCCTAGTGTCCAGTAACAGCTGTATAATCTCCACGGCAGCTTCAAAACGCGATACCGGTGCCATGCCATGTGTTCTCTATTGCTTGAACAAAAGGTCAGGTCAACTGTGTGACAAACGATACGTTTGTCAAGGCGTTGCGCGGTGTGTTAGCGGCGTGCGGATACGTTTGTCAAGGCGTTGCGCGGTGTGTTAGCGGCGTGCGGATACGTTTGTCAAGGCGTTGCGCGGTGTGTTAGCGGCGTGCGGATACGTTTGTGAAGGCGTTGCGCCGTGTGTTAGCGGCGTGCGAATACGTTTGTGAAGGCGTTGCGCGGTGTGTTAGCGGCGTGCGAATACGTTTGTGAAGGCGTTGCGCGGTGTGTTAGCGGCGTGCGGATACGTTTGTGAAGGCGTTGCGCGGTGTGTTAGCGGCTTGTGGATACGTTTGTGAAGGCGTTGCGCCGTGTGTTAGCGGCTTGCGGATACGTTTGTGAAGGCGTTGCGCGGTGTGTTAGCGGCGTGCGGATACGTTTGGCAAGGCGTTGCGCGGTGTGTTAGCGGCTTGTGGATACGTTTGGCAAGGCGTTGCGCGGTGTGTTAGCGGCTTGTGGATACGTTTGTCAAGGCGTTGCGCCGTGTGTTAGCGGCGTGCAGATCATCACCTGAAGACGTCAGTGGACATCCTTTCCGGATGGGCGGCTGTACTTTTGCATTAAATATCGGCATGCTACTAGTTCTTATACAATTACGCGGGAACTAGAAGTCAAACGCCTTCCAGCGTTATATGACACCTGAAAAGGATTTTCACTGTAAATTGACGTAGCAGCTGGACAAAAGTTTAAAAAATAGGGTATTACAACCGTCTTGAGGGTTTTGAATTGTAAAAAAATATTTTAACATTAAAAGAATTTATCGTCAATTAAATATTGACCTTACCCTAAACACCGTTGTTTGTCTTTTCTTAGAGTTATGTGTGTTTTACTTAATTGTGTGATATATTTCATAATATTTGTAAGTCAATCATTCTTCAATGTCATGGTAGAATGGTTATACCTTACATGCACGGCTCTAAAAACGATACAGAAACATAGCCTCTCGCCTATGTCCAGCCTACCTTCATTTATCAAATGCATTATCATCTGTATGGAATAGTATTTTAATCATTATTAGCAGTTACAAATAAGGGTTATTACACATGTTTACTGAATACTGACCTACCTTTACTATTTATTTGCTCTTCTGTCCGTGGTCGTTTCACATCCTTTTGTACCAACTCTGGCAAAATGTTAATGTAAATTATTATTCTGTCATGCTACTTTCTTACCCGAATTTACATACTGCTTATTAACTATTAACAAACTAATTATGATATATTTTACAATATAATCAGTATCGCATTGATTTTCAGGAATCACTGTACATAGTGGAGTGCACTGAGCCTCAGTCATTTCAAATTGTTTTGTTTTTTGGACTCAAATGATGGTGAAGTCCTATAGATAAAAACTGGTCCGAGTGTCAAACGTCGGATAAAAATGCCCATTATAGGACAATTTTTCAAAATGGGTGCCATCTGAAATCGTGAATTGCAATTGTTTGAGTAAAAAGCGCATACTTTTCTTACATAACATAACTTTCATAGTTATGTGAAGCTAAAACTATGTAGGGAATGAACAAGAGTCAAACAATTAATGTTCTGAATCTTTTTCAGGCCACAAAGGAAAGTTGACTGCCAATTTTGAGACTATTTTTTCAACTGGGACATGGAACTAGAATCTCAAGATTTGCAGTTTCCTTCATCACAAAAGCCTGGGTTGGACCAACATCGTCTGTGAATCACTTCACAGAAAATAGAAGCAGGCAACAGGGGATCCATCCTACCTAATTTCCATGCATGTCACCCTGGTTGGTCGCTCAGGGTGATGGCAGAAGACGAAACTCAGAGGTGAAGTTTAAGACAAAAGCAGCTATGTTTATTGTTACTGGTTGAAATAAGTGCAAATGGTGTTAGTTGATAATAGAGATAGAGAAACAACTTCATGTATTTCCATGACAAAAACAAAACAAAGAAGAAGACAGCAATGATGATGAAAGTGCACCAATTTAAGCGTCAGGCAGCGCTCTATGGACAAGCAATTATTTTAGCTCAACAGCTGTGGAGGGGATTTGGAGGAATTTGTTCGCCACGAATCTTCCCTATACCCACCTTCAACTCTCGTACCAAATCATATTTGTTAGTGCACATCATTGAAGACACAAGTGCGAGTAGCTCTGCTTCTGTTGAGAAACTCGTTGCACTAGATGTTTATGATTTCCTATATGACTTTGTTTTTGACAGTATAACACTGATACGCTCACTTTCTGATACGATCGACAAGATTAGACAGTGGGACAAGTATCATGCACTGACACACTGCACAAGGGAAAAACGTGGAACAGGCACTCGGCAGTGTGTATCTGGCACTGCCAAAATTCGAGGAAATTGGCAGAAGTTTTGGCAAATGCTGATAACAAGAAGGAACCGTTCTTATTTCTGTCCCGAAAGAAACATAAGTGCAATTACCTGATGTCAAGGATGTCTACATCACTGCAGATCATTAAGTCCACCATGTTGGAAACAGTCCACCAATGGGTCAATGCAACCATGGGGAAGCGGACACCAATATTCCAGTACATCTCCTCCATGACCGCCAAACAGATGCACTCGGGATGGTTCATACTGGAGATACAGATGTAATTCTTCCTGGTACTTTCCGTAACATGAAGGCTCTCATTTCCAAATGTAAAAATCTGGATCTCCTTCAAATCAGGAAAGACAGCCAGAATGATCTCTCTGAACACTATTGCTACAAACCTAGCATTCAATGGATCCGACAGCACTTTTTCTTTCAAGTTTAAGGTAAAGCGATACAGCTCATACACAAAGTGCCATCCCTCATAGAAGAATTTGCGATGGTCATCAAAGCTGCATTCCAAACATCGTCATTGCTGAAAGAAGTTTGTAGACTCTACACTACTCAAATGAAGAAAATAATGCTGACCTAGTCCGAATGAGGGTGTTCCCTATGAAGACTGCAGACATAGAGAGGTTTCCCTCAACCAGTGATGATTTGGATCAACATCTCAAAAGGAATTTCTTCAAAGAGAGCATCTGGACAACATCCCAAATGTCCTTGATGCCTGTCAACAAACACCTGATCATGGATAGAAATAGAAAGAAAAGGACGGCACGCTGCTTCCCCTTTGGACAACACGGGCCATCACAAAAGGAAGTATTCCACCTGCACTCTTTGCAAATGCAAGAGGGCAAAGTTAAAGTGTACACGTTTTTGCAAGTGTACATGCGAGAAGTAGATGGGCCACAATATTTCAATAATTCTGATTTTCAGATTATCGACCCTTTGGTCTATTTTAAGGATATTTGCCATTATTGGCAAAATTATTGTTTCTATGGCTTAAGATTAAATTTGTTAAGCCTGATTTCCAATCAAATTTTAATGGTCGTGTCATCCAATCAAAAGATATTGTAGTTTGAAGAATTTGCATTAGCCGGTCAATGGGCATGGTGTGTTCTACGCCCAAAGAATGCCAATCTCTTATATGAATGCTTGACACTCGGACCAAAATTCTTCTCAATGGGCTTACCTTCAAGCTTGTACTAAAAAAGAAACTTTTGCATTAATCTGATATGAAATGAAACTATTACATATGTAGGAAACCCCATTAACAACATCATCTTAGCCTGAGTAATGCTGTGAAAGATGTGAACACCAGAATACACCTCAATGCACCTCAGAATACCCTGTTATGATATCATGACATTCAGTTACATGTCACCATACAAATAAAGTACAAATACATAGCTTGCCTTCTTTGGTACATTGCACTTGAAGAGATGTAATGTTGGATTTGATTTCAGCCATAGCTGTGATAATTGTACTCATTGTCCTTTCAACTGAATCTGCAAGAAATAATTGTATGACAGAAAATTGTTTGTTTTAATTGTTCAAAAGGTATGAGTAACGAGTAATTATTTAGTTAAATAAAGTCTTTCTTCGTATGAAGACCACTAGCCCATGTACAGAGAAAGTGTATATATACATAACAATGGTCCATGAATTAACACATAACAAACATCATATTATTCTAGAATTTACAAAACTTTGTCTCATTTCATAATTTTCACATAGATATTTAAAAAAAATGTCTTTGTAAAATTACGTTGTTCGAAAACAAAAACATTCTAAATTTGTACATATTCGGATTATAACAATACTTTTAAAGCAGATAAAGGTGTCTTATGTTCATGTAGGGATTACATATTAAGGTAATGCAATTCATCTTCCGTCCGCAGATTAGAAAGAGGACACACACGTAAACTTATATCAATCACCAGCCATCCCCATTCGTTAACTTTCATCTAAACAACCCCTTCTTAACTATTACCAAAATATACTCTTAAAAAGAAAAGAAACGCCAAGCCAGATTTGTGTGAGATACGAAAATCCATTTATACAAGGAACCGTATAAGGTATTCAGCCAAAATGTTGTGGAGAGAACACTTGGTGATTGTAGTCATCTGAGTTATCGATACATAGGAAAAGCCCTAGGTGAAGGTCAGCTACCATCAATAACGCGTATGTCCCCCGTTGGAACCGGTAGCGGCCTGACATCTCCTGCCCATGGAAGAGACGAATATGCGAATCACATCCTGGGGAATGGTAGCCCACTCGGCCTGCAACGCAAAAGCCAACTGCTGCAACGTCTGGGATTGTGGTTGAGGTCGGCTTAGCCGTCTATCCAAATCATCCCACAGGTGCTCTATCGGGTTCAAATCCGGGGATCTGGAGGGCCAGGGGAGAACATCAACGTTGTTGTTGTGTAGACAAGCTCTTGTGATCCGTGCTGTATGCGGTCGAGCGTTGTCCTGCTGGAATACACCGTTGCCGTTGGCTGCAATTGGGAGGACGTGTGGTAGCAGAATTTCGATGTATCGTTGAGCCGTAATATTGCCGGCCGTGGATATGGACCAAACCTGTCCTGCCATGATGAGAGATATCCACCCACATCATAACGCTACCGCTACCAAACCTGTCCACTTCCTGTACGCAGTTTCCGGCGTAACGTTGTCCCCGACGTCTGTAGACCCGTGCTCTTAAACGGTTTTGTATGGTCTGGTCGGAGATTCCGCGCAGTCCGGGTATTTGGGATGCGGTTGAGGTGGCTGTGGTCGTCCTTTCACGTAGGTGGCGCATTCGGATGTAGCGATCTTGGGCGGGGGGGGGGGGGGGGGGGGGGGGGGGGATTTACTCTTGGTCGTCCCGACCCTGGCCGATCACGTGTTGACCAATGCTGTTGAAACCAATCCAATAGCCTTGTGATTTTGCGCGGCGCTACATTGAAAACCCTGGCTACAGCAGATCGGTATTCCCCTGCCTGCAAGCGACCTATGACGTTGTTTCTTTGCACTTTTGTTAATCTTCGTATGTTGTTGAACTGTCACTGTTCGATTGACGCAGATGCAAGGCATTCAAAAACCCTGCACTTTAATACCGTTCATAGAGCTGCTGCATGTGCAGTGCGGGCAGCAACATGGCCCTTTAGTTAATGCACGAGGTGCGTTTTTCCGAATCGTTCATGGTTGCATATCCTTGTTGTGATCTTTTTGATCCGGGAAATTTGCCACTGACACTATTACACATTAAACCTCTTAATTTTGCACCTCTTGGTCCGCTATTTTTGCTTTTATGGCCAAAAATATCCGTTTTGCGTTTCTTTTTCGAAGAGTATATATCGCTGTTTCAGTTGGTAAAGATATGTCCCGATTAATGTACAGTAGAAAACTTAAAACGGTACAATGTTCATATCGGACGGGTGGGCGTGGGTAGATGAAAAGGATAACTTTGAAGTCTATTATTATAGTTTACCGTGGCAGCATGCAAAAACAATACAAGACGAATTTGTCAAACTGCTGGAGCAAGCATTGCACTCAATTTATTAAGGGCTCATTACTACTCATAACAATACTAATGATAATAATTCTGAACACTGATCCATACACTGCAATGCGTATTGGATACAGGAGACCAACACGCGTGTTACTGCCTCCAGTGATCTATAGAGAATAATTACCTGTCCTGTTTTCAAGCTGATTGGTCTTTTGCTCTATATCATCATGCTTCACTACTTGTGTGTAGAAGCTAGGTCCAGGGTGGAAGGCAGATACTATACATACGGCAGTAGCTGTGTGTACCAGCAACATGGTACGGACAGCCATCTTCAACAAATACAGAAGTATTTTCACATTACACGTTACACACGAGGGCAAAGCCGACTGACGTTAATCCATTTCCCCACATCGCCTGCTGTACACGACTATTGGTGAAATAAAGGCTGAGAATGCTTTGATCTGATGCTACGTTTCAACATGGGTATTTTTATTGTTTGACTTCTTGAAAATATTTGAAGGACATAACAACAACATGAACTCTGAAATGTTGACAGTCACGTTCTTCTCTATAAAAGCAAATATATATATATATATATATATATATATATATATATATATATATATATGACTATACCACTTTCAACCTGCCGACACATGTGGCTAATTTGGATAGATCTACCTGTCTATAGTTCAATATGCATAAGAAAAAATACACAGAAATCGAGGAGTCGATCCACCATGTATGGATTGGATACCAGGAATCCATACATAATCCAGCCAGATACAAGTGAATTTTAAGTTAGGGCTGTATGTCATACATAAAGGGGGGCGGTCGGGTAGCCTAGTGGTTAAAGCGTTCGCTCGTCACGCCGAAGACCCGGGTTCGATTCCCGACATGGGTACAATGTGTGAAGCCCATTTCTGGTGTCCCCCGCCGTGATATTGCGGGAATATTGCTAAAAGCGGCGTAAAACACTACTCACTCACTCACTCACTCACTCACTCATACATAAAGGATCCCTTTGCATCATATCAGCCCAACAGCGTGGCTCAGTTTGGCACGGATGGCGATATAATTAACAGCAATCAGCCAAAGTTAGCCATCCACAGTCCACTGAATTAAAATAGGTTGCGTGGTTTTGTTCATCATGACGTCTGGCTTTGATTTGTGTATGTGATTAGAGTGTGAAGTGTGTGAAAACAGTTGGAAAAAACAGAACCCCTTTGGATACACATGACAAGGTTGGACCTGTGGGGCAGAAATGCAGAAATTTCTGGTAGCACGAGGGAGAATTTTCTTTTCTCGGTTTGCCATGTTTGGCATCCTCCGACCTAGCAGCAGGCAACCTGGCGGAAGTCTGAGATAGTAGCATAAAAGTCATCTAAGGCGCCGCGATTCGCTGTGCAGAGTTGCGTCCCTTGGGCACGCCAGAAACCTATGATTGTGGGTTCGATTGGTTTTGTTGGTTTGTTGGTTTGTTGTTTAACGCCGCACTCAGCAATATTCCAGCTATATGACGGCGGTCTGTAAATAATCGAGTCTGGACCAGACAATCCAGTGATTGATATCATGAGCATCGATCCACGCAATTGGGATCGATGACATGTATCAACCAAGTCAGCGAGCCTGACCACCCGATCCCGTTAGTCGCCTTTTAAGACAAGCATAGTCACCTTTTATGGCAAGCATGGGTTGCTGAAGACCTATTCTATCCCGGAATCTTCACGGGTCTTGTGGGTTCGAATCCCGGTTCGCCCCGATTATGTT